AAACCAGAATGGTTAAGTGAGTTGCTCTCAGTCATACAGCTAAGAAATGGTGAGACAGAGATGGAAGCCCTGGACAGTCTCATTTGACCATTCTGCTCTGCCCTGTTGTTTATTATCCCCCCCCCCCAACCAGGCTGCCTCAGAGGGGTGGGGCCACAGGTCTGTTTAAATAGTTGGGGGGGCAGTTGGGAAGGTGGCTCAGTGGTAGAGTGCTTGCCTTGCATGCATGAGGCCCTGGGTTCAATTCCTCAGTACCACCTAAGCAGAAAAAGCCAGAAGTGGTGCTGTGGCTCAAATGGCAGAGCTCTAGTCTTAAGCTGAAGAGCTGAGGGACAGTGCCCAGGCCCAGAGTTCAGGCCCCCAATCAGCAAAAAAAAAAAAAAAAGAATATAAATAAATAAATATATATAGTCGGGGGAGGAGGGAATGGAGCTCCCTTTATGTAGACTCCCACCTAGCCCTCACAGTGAGTGTGTGAGTCCTAGGTAACCCTGCCCAGATGGGCCGGTAGAAGATGACAGGGGAGAGGGGCTGGGGGAGGGCAGGTTCACTGAGCTTCTGCCCCAAAGTGTGGCTAAAGGAGAGACAGAATCGTGGGCAGGAGCCTGAGCTTTGGGGTGAAGTGCTTGCTGGTGCTCACGCCTTCTCTTCAGGTACTGGGAAGAACAAGAACCAGGGGTGACCGTCCCTGTGGCTCCAGGAGGAGGCAGGTGAAGCAGCCACGCTCTCTGGACTAGAGCTGGGATGGCCTGGCACAGACCCCACTCATTCTCTGAGACCGAGCCTGGCGTTCTTTCCTGATAGCTCCTCAACTCTTCTCTTGATCCTGTCCCAACATACAAAGCCATGGTAGGCTGGATGGCACAGGAACTGTTGGGGCGGTGGAGAGCAAACAAGCCAGCAGTGGCCTGTGAGCACCAGAGGCTTGTTTCCCAGCCACCATCTTCACAAAGGATCTGGAGCTGGAGAAGTCTATCACCTTTCCCAGGGTGCCCAGCAGTGGGAGGGAGAGCTCAGACCAGAAATCCCACCACTGGAAAAGCCACCCGCGCCCACCTTGCACACACATTGCCTGAGGCAGCGGAGCATTGGGGCTGGAGTCCGGTGCAAGGCTGGAACTGGGGGAGGAGCAGCCGCGGGGGTGGGGGCCCTCCACCTGTCACTGCTGCGGGCCAGGACGGGACAGCACCCCCCCCCAGCCATAGTTCCCATCCATTGTCACCACACTGTCTTGGCGTTGCTATATTTAAGACGGTGAAGCAGGCTCCAGGATCACATTCTTCACCCAGTCCTCACTGAGCAGGGAGCAGCAAGAGTCGGAGGACCCCTTCATTCTAGAAGCCTCTTCTCCTTTCTTCTCTGAGACACTTGAGTGGATCCAGCTGCTTTTGTGAGTCACCTTCAGGGATTGGGGTGAGGAGGGAAAACTCAGAAAGCAAAATCTCAGCTTTCTGTGTGTGTGTGTGTGTGTGTGTGTGTGTGTGTGTGTGTGTTAGAGAGAGAGAGAGAAAAAAACAGAGAGAGAGCGCCCAATCTTCACTGTGTTCCTGGGTTATCTGAGCTGAATCCTGTGTGATATGAAATTCCACCAAAAAAAAATGGCCCTTGGGGACATGCTACCACTGGCATTTCTGCCATCACCGGGCAGCCATCAGCAGGACTAGGGTGAGCTGGCAAGTCGAGCAGACTTGCAGCAAGCTGGGTAAGCCCTGTTTGGCCAACCCCACTGTCCTGGGATTCTGAGGACTTCCCCAGCCCAGAGATTGACTGGCAGGAAACAGAAGCTCCACTGGGAAACTGAGGCTCTGCCTCACCTACCAGGGCCATGTCACCCTAGCCCCCAGGGTGCTGGGGAGCCACAGCTTGTCCTGGGCTACGTGGGAAGCACCCCGGCTGTGGCCACCCTTCACAGCGACCCTGCCATCGACTCTGCAGGCTTTGGCTGGCCACGACTCTCGATCTCCAGAAAAGGGGGAGAGGACTTCCCAGGGTGGGGGGCTTAGCAAAGGCTGGGGTGCGGGCCCCCCCTCTTGGCAGGCCCACATGGAAAACTCAGCCTGTGAGAAAAGGGCAGCAGAGGCCGCAAACTTGTCCTTGCTTAATCCCACATGCCAACTGGTGCTTTAAAAAGCATCAATGGCTCACCCTCTAAAGTGGGGGTCTGGCTGCTCCCAGCCTTGAGCCTGGGAACAAGCGCCAGGCAGCCCCGTTGCGCTAATCAGGATGGAGCATGCAGGGGCAGGGAGCCAGCACTGATGCCAGCCAATGCCAGCCAACGGCCAGCCTGGCTGCCGGAGCCACTGTGTCCCAGGACAGCAGAGCCTCGCCCTGCTCCAGCGAGGATGGAACCCACAAAGCCCTGTGCCGTGAGGAGGAGAGGATGCAATGGGCGGGGCTGGCTATTCCTCAGGGTGTAGACATAGCCTCTTCCATTGGGCAGAGTCAGAGTAAAGCTGGAGGGGTGAGTGTTAGTGTCACTGGGAGTCGGAAGAAACCCACAGAGCATCGGGGGCAGCCCTCGGTGTCCACTACTCTGTAGCAACCCACTCTCCTTCCTGTTGTCCTGCGTGGATGCTCAAAGGGATCCAGCTTTCAGGACTCGGAAGGAATGAATGACCAGTAGCTTGGCCTCTAGCAACCTGAGTCCCAAAAGCCCTATAACAGCCCTTCTGGGGACCAGAGGGCTCCCCACCTCACCATGGGCTTAGAGAGAATTCCCCAAGGTGCTGCATTCCAAAGACAGGCTACATGTGTGCATACACATACAGGTGCACACACACACACATGCACACATATATGTATGTGCAAAATGTGCACATGTGTACAAGCGCAGGTACGCACACATACATATACACACACATGTGTGCATACACATGGGTGTACATGCAAGCTTACACATGTTTGCACACACATGTATAACTATGCATGTGTGTGTGCGCGCGCCCAACATGCGTATATATGTGCACATGCATATGCTCACATGTATGCACCCATGCGTGTACTCATGCATATACAGACACACATGCATACAGACATATACACACGCACATGCACACACGGCCACCTCTGAAAGGGCACCCCCAAACCCAGCAGTGGCACTGAGGCCCCGGTCTCAGAAAGAACTGAGTGCAAACCCCACATACAGCCTCAAGCCAAGAGCCTCCCACGCCCTCTGCTGGCCTCTCTGTCTCTGTAGTTCACTCTGTCCCAGGTCGTGGGTCAACCTGGTCCAAGCCTCCTGGGTGTCTCAAGAAGCTCAGACTTGAGATTCAGGAATACAAAGGAGTGACTTGTGCTCCCATTAAAGAAAGTTCATGTAGCCCACTGTGTCCCCAACCCTGCCTGGCGTTGAGTAGGCACTTGACCTAGAAGTCAACAGAGCTGGGAGCTGAGTACAGCCAGTGACTTGGGCCTATCATCCTAACTACTCAGGAGGATGAGATCTGAAGATCACAGTTCAAAGCCAGCCCAGGTAGGAAAGTCCATGAGACTCTTATCTCCAATTAATCACCAGAAAACCAGAAGTAACACTGTGGCTCAAGTGGTAGAGCGCTAGCCTTGAGCTGAAGAGCTGAGGGACAGCGCCCAGGCCCAGAGTTCAGGCCCCACAAATGACAAAAACTAAAACAAACAAAAAAGACAAAAGGGAGTGGAGGTGTGGCTTAAATGGCAAAGTGCCAGCCTTAAGCAAAAAAAATTCCAAAAAACAAGATCCTGAAGCCCTAAGTTCAAGCCTAATATTGGGATAGATAGATAGATAGATGGGTGGGTGGATGGATAGACAGATAGATAAATAGTTGGCTGGGAGCACGGCTCAGTCGTTAAAGCTCCTTCCTGGCATGCACAACCCTAGGTTCTATCCCAAGTACTGGGGGAAAAAGTCACATCTATCACATGCAAAGATCTGAAATAACTAGTAAGAGGAGGGTTTTTTGTTTGCGGAGTTCTTGTTTTTGTTTTTGTTTTTTGGATTTTGCTTGTTTAGTGCAGGTTTGGGGAACTGAACTCCGGGCCCAGGCACTGTCCCTGAGCTTTGTTGCTCAAGTTTGCATCTATCACTTTGAGCCACAGCACCTCTTCTGGCTTCTTTTGGTACTTAATTGGAGATAAGAGTCTCACAGACTTCCCTGCCTGGGCTGGCTTCAAACTGTGAACCTCAGATCTCAGCCTCCTGCGTAGCTAGGGTTGCAGATACAGCAGCACACAGGGGGTTTTCTGCACTTGTAAAGTGCAGATGAGAAGCATGCAAAGGATCAGAGGAGAGAACGTTCTAGAGGAGCTGTCCCTCTTCATCTCCAACCTCTTAGGGAAATAATGCAGATGTCTGACACTTGTGTGCTACTTAGTAAGCACCAGGAGCTCACCTAACCTTTACGGCTGCCCTGGGCGGAGAGCAGACTCATTTTACAGAGGAGAAAACCAGGTCCTGGAATCCAGGATCACACTCCTGATGGATTCCACCTGTGGGCCCAGCCCTGCGTCTCCACGCGTAACCCTGAACTCTCGAGCTAACTAATGTAGCATCCTCAGGTGGGGCTTGAAAGTGTAGCTGCAGTTAAGTGGCAGGGGCGGCGAGAGGCCCTGCCAGGAATGAAGCCAGGGGTGCAGGACAGGGTCAGGGGTCGGCATATGCAGAGGAGAGTCCGCCCTTGGACATCAGTGCTCAGTGCCTGGAAGCTAAGGCCAGGAGGGGACGGCCACGCCCCCAGACAGCATGGCCCGGCCAGGCTGGCTGCTGCCAGCAGTGGCTGGCAGGAAGGATCTGCTCCTGAACAGGGAGGGGGAAGGGGGAAGTCACTTCCTTAGATGCGGAGGCACTGGGGAGGGGGTGGAGAAGCCAGGCTCAGAACAGACAGGTGTTCTCTCTCTCCAGCCTCGGCTTCTCTGTGTGCTCCCTAGAGAGAACCCCTCCCCTCAAAACCCTCCCAGAGACAGCGTGGGACAGGCCCCCAATGGGATGACCGTGTACCCTGGTCTTGCCAGGTTGTTGTCTTGCAGCCATGACTCTGCCCCACGGCCCTGGAAGCGCTGGGGAGTCCCAGGCCCCCCAGACCATGCAGGTCTACAGGCTGGAACGCCGGCAGGAGGAAGAGCAGAAGGAGGAGCGGCAGCAGGGCCTGCACATGGGCTCCTCTGTGCGGAGGAGGACCTTCCGGAGCAGGTGGGAGCACCGAGGGCCCCCTCCTTCGTGCCCCATTGTGTGGGAGGAGGCCCAGCTCCGCCCTCTGGAGACCCCTGTCTGACGGGGAGGTATCACCCCCAGCCTCAGGAGGGAGACACGGGTTTGCTCCCTGGGGGCCTCAGTTTGAGGCCTCCGGTCCCCTGTCGAGCAGCACAGCCCTGTAGTCTCAGCCAGACCCCCTCTGCCCGCCATAACAACCCCTTCTCTTGAGCAGTGAGGAAGAACATCAGTTCAGTGCCGCCGACTATGCCTTGGCCGCCGCCCTGGCCCTCACAGCCTCCTCTGAGAGGTCCTGGTAAGTCATCTGGCCTACTCAGGAGGAGGCCCCTCCCGCCCCTGCCTCACAGCTGGGCTCCCATGGGAGCTTAAAGAACTTGCTGGAAGTTACACATGGAGGGAAAGTGGTCAGGTAGGGGTGTAAGCCCAGAACTGTCTCCCCGAAAAGCTTACACACTCGTCCTCTGGGAGCATTGTCCCCAAGGGGCCAACGCCTTCAGCCATGCAGGAAGGGCTGGAGGAAAGAGGAAGCCAGAAACAGGCCCCAAGTCTCCCATAGTTCAGAGATAGGACTTCTGAGTAGGGCTCCGGAAAGACCGTGGCTGGATGTAGGAAAGACCCTGGGTTGGGGTCCCTGAGTCAGGGTCCTGTGACAATTTAGTCCTGATATGAGTCACTGAGCCTCAGTTCCCTGCCTGACCACTTCTTGTTGTTGTTTGTAGTAGGGCTTGAACTCAGGACTTGGGCGCTGTCCCTGAGCAATTTTGCTCAAGGCTAGTGCTCTACCACTTAAGCCACAGCACCACTTCCAGTTTTCTGGTGGTTAATTGGAGATCAGAGTCTCATGGACTTTCCTGCCCAGGCTGGCTTCAAATAGCAATCCTCAGATCTCAGCCTCCTGAGTAGCTAGGATTACAGGTGTGAGCCACTGGTGCCTGGTGCCTGACACTTTCATAAGAAAAGAGGCCCCCAAAGGCTGGCAGAGGAGCCCTGCAAATTCTCCCAATAATCAAGCCTATGTTAGGCACCCACTGCAGGCAGACCCTTTCCAGATATCTGGACACAAATCAGTGTTTATCCTCAAAAAGTGTAGGGCACTAGTGGCTCACACCTGTAATCCTAGCTACTCGGGAGCCAGAGATGGGAGGATTTGGTTCAAAGCCAGCCCAGAGTAGGAAAGTTTGTGAGATTCTTATCTTCAATTAACCAACAAAAAGCTAGAAATTGAGCTATGGTTCAAGTGGTAGAGTGCCAGTCTTGTACAGAAAAAGCTAAGAGAGCCAGGGGCTGGTGGCTCTTGCCTATAATCCTAGCTACGCAAGAGGCTGAGATCTGAGGATCATGGTTCAAAGCCCTCCCAGGCAGGAACGTCTGTGAGGCTTTTATCTCCAATAATGCACTCAGAAAACTGGAAGTGGCGCTGTGGCTCAAGTGGTAGAGCGCTCGCCTTGAGCTAAAGAGCTGAGGAACAGCGCCCAGGCAGAGTTGGGCATGGGATGGAGGTAGCCAGGCCACCCCAGGCCATGTTGGAATTCCCGTGGCCTCTGCTGTGGCAGGGAAGGTCAGCTGAGGCGGGAAGCTGTGGATCTAGAGGAGCGTGGACAGAAGCGGATAGGCTTTGGCAACGACCTGGAGAGGACGGAGGTCAGCTGCCTGCGGACCCAGCGGCTGCTGCGCCAGAGCCGGGACTGGAAGGCACTGCGGAGGCAGGTGGGTGCGCGGGGGAGCCCCCACAGGCCCCCTTCCCCAGGGGCATCCAGGAAAGGACCTGGGCTCTGTGAGTGAATCCTGGCACCCTGACCCTTTCTAGCTGTGTGAGCTGGGCCAGGTGACTCGCTGTTCCTGAGCTTTAGCTTCAACCAATCTGTCACTCAGATTGGTTGCCACAGCTCTCAGGGGAGGTGGAAAGACCACAGGAAGAGGCGGCTCCTGCTGACCGTTGCAGATCTCAAGTCAGACCTCTCCCCCTCCCCCAGATCCTACTTCCCTGGGTGTTTCAATAAGTATTTCCCACATTTCTCAATACTGATCATTCTCATCACAACCCGATGGGAGTGAAGCAACCACTATCATCATCCCCATCTTCCAGGTAAGAACACTGAGGCTCTCCTTTGATCCCACAGCCAGCTAATAAGTAGCTGAGCCAGACCTGACTCCTAGGCCAGAGCCTGAGTCCTAGAGCCTATGCTCTGCCCACTTGGCCACACTGTCTCCCAGCCAGTGAGGACAGGCCCACACAGTCCGACTCCAGAGTCTCGGTCTTAGAGCTAAGGGAAGAGGTGGTCCTGGCTCATAGGCTGTTCCTGCCTCCAGACAGAGGAGAAGGTTCGGGAGGCCAAGGAGCTGGTCGAGCTGTGTTCTGGCCGGGGCCCCTGGTTCTGGATCCCGCTGCGCTCACACACTGTCTGGGAGCACACCACAGTCCTGCTGACCTGCACCGTGCAGGGCTCTCCGCCACCCCAGGCCACCTGGTAAGATGCTCAGTGGGAGGCAGGGTCCCAGCCCTGCCCCTGGTGCTCCACACTTGAGTTCCTTACAGCCCAGGAAAGCCACAGGCCCACAGACCCTAAACTGTACCTACCCCACCCCCAGCCCCATAGAGCAACAGCTGCCAGGGAGCCTCAGGCCCTGGGTTATTCTTAGCCACCTCCCCGCCAGCTTGGGGCTGGAAGACAGAGCCAGTCCTTGTTTAAAAAAAAAGCATGCCGTTGGCAGGAGAAGCAGCTGCTGTGAGCTGCGCCTCTCTGGGGTCAGGGGATGCTGGCAGAGGCAGGGCCAGGGGCCATGGGATGGGAGAGGAGGTGGGGAGCATGGAGCCCCACTGGGAGAAGGGGCTAGGGCAACCGCAAGAGCCTGTGTCTCAGGCCTCGCTTGCTTTCCACTAACTCAACCCATGGTCTCAGGCGGGAGTCTGAACTGGTCCTGCCTCAGTTTCCTATTCTGTAGAATGAATGAGTCCAGGACCTTCTATTCAGGTTGCAGGGGATTAGGATTTAACTTCAAAATGACAGGCTCTCAGAACTTGGACTGGGAAAGAACCAGGTATAGAGGTACATGCCTGTAATCACAGCACCTGAGAGGTTGAGGCAGGAGAATTTATACATTAAGGCCAGCCTGGACTACAGAATGAAGCTGTGACTCAAATAAGATAAGAGGGAGGGAGGAGGGAGGGAGAGGGATGGCGGAGGGCAGGTGGGCAGGCAGGCAAGCAGATGGCCTCTCCTGGTATGTGTCTACAGCAGAGCCCTAGACTTTCCTAACTCTAGCTGGGGGTGCCCCTGAACAGGTGTGGTAGAGAGGGGCGTGGCCACACCCCGATGGAGACTATTCTCCTCTTAGTAGAACCAGTGTTGGCCAATCTCCCCAGGCCTAGGGCCCATTGCCTGGCACCTTGAGGAAGGAGGAAGGGGTTCCCACAAATATTTACTAGGAGTGTCACCAGCCTAGCCCTTGACTCAGGCACTAGAGATGCGGGAATGAAGCAAACAAGGAGAAGCCTGGAGAAGCATGGACACAGAGAAAGATATTCACAGTCACGTATTTAAGATCAAAGAAGAGATGGAGGGGAGGAAGTGGAGGATCCAGGGAGGCTTCTTGGAGGAAGTGACACCACAGGAGTCAGATCTTGATGGTGAGCAGCCCATTCATGGTCTTAACAGGAACGAGAAAACAAGGGCACAGGTAGGAGAGAACACAGAGGGGAAAGCGGCTCTTGGACTTGGACCTGGACCACTTGTCCCTTATGAGCCTCTGGGCCACTTATGAAAGGAGACTCTTAGCCCCATTTCATAGGTGGGACTACCGAGGCTCAGGGAGCTTGTATGGTTTGTCTAAGGTTACCCAGCCCATGGGAACCAGGATTTAAACTCAGGGTTCCTGCCTCCAAGCCCACAGCGCTTCACTGGCCCAAAGAGCATAAAGTGACTGGCGCTGGTGTTTGTTCACGGAAGTGAGCCTGGCACCATGTAGGGCTCTGGGTTTCCGTGGGGACCAAGGCAGTCCCTACATATAAGTGGCCCAGTGGGAAGACAGCTTCCAACACGGGCCAGGGCTAAGTGGGAGTCAAAGGCTCAGCTGTCCAGCCCTGCGGCCAAGCCCAGCCAGCCCTGGCACAGACACCCACATCTAAATCACTCAGGGAAGTCTCCTGGGAAGGGCACTGGTTTTCACCCCTGCCAACATCGACGAGGTCACGTCAATGAAGCCAAGCGTTCCTGAAGCAGGGGGAAGCCAAGGCCAGGCCCCTCCAACCCCAGCCACTCAGGTAACACCCTGCTCCCCAGCTTGGGACTGGCTTCCTACCACCACCTGCAGCAGGGCCAGGCAGAGTCCTGGGTTTGGATTCCAGATAGAGATGAAGCGCTAGGTCCAGAGGAAGATCCCAGCTTCCCAAACCGAGTGTGCTCAGGTGGCAACTATCGAGCACTTACGGGATGTAGTCCTCTCAGCACACAGCCCTCACTGCAGCTAGGCGAAGTGGAAGCGCTCGGCTGGATCACTGGGGATTGGAAACACTGAGAGGGACCCAGAGAGAGGCTCAGAGTTGGGGCCCAGCTGGATGGAAGGAGGTGGCAGCACCCATGCCGGGTCCAGGGTCAGAAGCAAGCTAAAGTTTCCCAGGCACATCCAAGGTGGCCCCTGGGAAATTGGTCTGTAAGAAATCCCAGTCTACAGGGGCTCCGCCCAGCCACAGGCCTCACAAAGGAGGGTCACTGTGTAGCCACATAAATGGCCACAAATCTAACTGACACCTATTAGAAGCTACCTCTCAGCCAACCACCCTTAAAAAATAAAAAGTATAACATCATCGGGCACTAGTGGCTCACCTTATAATCCTAAAACTAATCAGGAAGCTGAGATCTGAGGATTGTGGTTCAAAGCCAGCCTGGGAAGGAAACTCCCTAAGACTCTAATCTCCAATAAACTACAAAAAAGCCAGAAGTAGAGCTGTGGCTTAAGTGGTAGAGCCCCAGCCTTGAGCAAAAAAAAAAAAAAAATGCTCAGGGACACAGCCCAGGCCCTGAGTTCAATCCGTAGGACTGGCACAAAAATAAACTCAAATCTCAAAAATATATGCGAGGGGCTGGGAAGGTGGCTCAGTGGTAGAGGGCTTGCCTTGCATGCATGAGGCCCTGGGTTCGATTCCTCAGCACCACATAAGCAAAAAGAAAAAAGCCGGAAGTGGCGCTGTGGCTCAAGTGGTAGAGCGCTAGCCTTGAGCAAAAAACAAAAAACAAAAAAATGCTCAGGGACACAGTTCAAGCCCTAGAACTGGCACAAAAATAAACATCAAAAATATATGTGAGGAGGTGAGAGGTAGACTTAGATAAATTTAGATAAATAATCTTAAAACCTCCCTTCCGTGATTTTTATAGGGCCTCTCTGAGCCAGGTTCCACCCCTTCCCAACCACTCCAGTTGTCTTCTTGAATGTTCTATTACGGGATGTGCTCAGGACTTTCCAGCCACATATGGGCTGACCGCAGACAGGAGCTGAGGCCCAGAGAACAGGGCAGGATGAGGCTGGAGGCTCGGTGGGAGGTCCCACCCAGGCCAGCCTGGGGTGTCTGGAATGTTCTTGACAGGTGTAGGATGAGGGGCCTATCCCTGCCCCTCCCCAGACCTAGGTGAGCTGGAAAGAGGGGGTGCCCATTTGGGGCACTGCCCTCCCCACAAGCAACTCAGTGCCCCTTGGGCTGTGTGGGTGTGGCCCTGTTTGGTAACCCTGGAGACAAACAGGGAGCAGAGGATCCAGATCCAAGGATGGAAGCGCCCTGACGCTGGGGCACCCTCTATTGGCAATGGAAGGTACACCCAGCTCTCCAGCCTCAACCACGAGCACTGGGGCAGAGACATACTCTCAAAGTCACTTTCTGAGACTCCCTTCCATGGTCTCCAGCTGCAGGGTGGAGTCCCAGCCTGCCTCTGGACAGGGGCAACATGCAAATCGAGTCAGCATAGCAGCCAGATGGCGCCCACCCTGCGTGCTGTTGACAGTGCTTAGTGGGCTCTAGCCTGGGGAAGAGCAGGCAAGCTGAGGCTGGAATCCAGGCCCGAGACTCCACACTCTTCCTGCTCAGCCGCTGACCACCACAGCCGTGTGTCTCCACAGGTACAAGGATGATGTGCGGATCGACCTTCGCCTCTTCCCCCCTGGAAAGTTCCGGATCATCAACAACTATGGACTGCTGACACTGGAGATTAGGAGGTGAGGCTGGGAAGCAGAAGGGAATCAGGACCACCAGGCCAACACCCCCAGACCAGAGTGGACCCTGAACTCTTCCGCCCTTCCTCCAAGCTATTCCCTTAAGTGAATCTGAGTGGGACCCAGGAAATGCTGTTACACACACACACACACACACACACACACACACACACACACACAGCCTTGAAATACATGATTAGAAATTGGAACTCAGACTAGCAGGAAGGACAGAATGCTGAGCAAGGCATGCTGGGAAAGAGAAGAGCCACACACTTATGCGCACGGTGAGTACATGCATGTACCCGCACACACAAGGGAAGCTGGTGGCGGGGACAGTTCTCTCTTTCAGGAGATGCTGTGAGTCTTGGTGGGGATTTGGAAGGAAGAGCAGAGTGTGGAGAGGCCACAGGGGAAGGTACAGCACAATCCTTCCCCCTTGTTTCTCCCTGGGGCCAAACCCTGTGCCAGGTGCCTTACAGCCAGAAGGAAACCAGGGCCTTGTGCATAGAGCCCTGTGGTTGCCATGGAGATGAGAGGAGAAGGGATGGGTGTGGAGCTGAGTGAATGCCCTATAGTAGAAACAGGTTTGGGACCAGGGCTGTAGCTCAGTGGCAGAGCACCTGCCTGAGTTGGATCTCCGGCATCACCCCGCAATGTTTGATGAATCAAACATTCAGTGAAGTGGCATAGCTAGTGTGGAGTGGAGCCTGGACTTGGCTAGGGCTGTGTCTGGAATTTTCTATCACTCCAACTGACACAAGCCTCAGGTTTGAGCAGGATTTGGGGCAGGTGGACGTAAACACCCTAGCACAGGAGGCTAGTGCAAGGAGGTGTTCAGTCAGGGAGAACAAATGGGGCTGGGGAGCCTCAAGGCGGGGGGGGGGGAGGTGGCCGAGGAGCAAGAAGCCCCCTCCCCCACCATGTGACCAGAGAGCCAAATGGGCACCTCCTAGCACCTGCACTGTTTGTCACCAAGATGGCTTGGGAAGGGAGCTGGCCAGAACTTCCACTAGGCACATAACAGAGTGGTCAGGCTTGTGGTGAGACCCAGGCCTGAGCCTAACACCTGGGCGTGAGGCCTGGCTCTGGCATAGACTAGCAGCATGCCCTGGCAAGTCAAGTCTGTGTGTGAGGAAGAGAAAGAGGAGGAAGCTGGGGTGGGGGAGGGAGAGAGGAGGGGAGGATGGATGAGTTCTGACACCAGGCAGGGGAAAGGGCTTGTCACCTTGAAGCTGGATGGAATTCTAGTTGCTGTGTGATTCTGGGCCAGTTGCTTCACCTCTGTGAGCCTCTAGAATCCCTAATAATAATGCCACATGGGACATGATATTCTCAAAGCACTTCCCTCCCCCACCCCAGCTGGTTTAGGCTGCTGTTATATCTTGCATTATTTTTCCCCCAGAGGATGTCAAAGCAGAGTTCTCTAAAGATACAGGACTTTAAGCTGGGCACCGGCAGCTCACACCTGTCATCCTAGCTACTCAGGAGGCTGAGATCTGAGGATCGTGGTTCAAAGCCAGCCTAGACAGGAAAGTCCATGAGACTCTTATCTCCAATTAACCACCAGAAAACCGGAAGTGGTGCTGTGACTCAAGTGGTAGAGTGCTAGCCTTGAGCTGAAGAGCTGAAAGACAGTGCCCAGGCCCAGAGTTCAAGCCCCACAACTGACAAAAAGAAAAAGAAAAAGAAAAAAAGATACAGGGCTTTTCCGGGCTAGTACCCAGGCTCTCCCCCTTGTACCAGGAAGCTGCCTTTGTGCCCAGCCATTCCCACACACAGGGGACCTCTGGGTTTCCCACGCCACCCAGCACCTTGGGAGGACAGCTCCCTCTGTCCTTTCCAGATGCACCGTGGAGGACTCAGCCACCTACACCGTGAAGGTGAAGAATGCCTACGGCCAGGCCTCCTCCTTTGCCAAAGTCCTGGTCCGCAGTAAGTGTACCCGCACCCAGCAGGCCAGACCTGGCCACAGCATACTCATGACAGGCAGGTGAGGACTTGAGTCTGTGCTCAGAGGCAAGGAAGGACCCAGCTCAGGGGGTCTGGGCTGAGATAGGGGACCAGGATGGCCATAGAGACTCTTGCTCCTCTGAAAGCCTTTGGTGCAAGTGAGAGTCTCCTCCCTCAGACTAGCCTGGGCAGCAGAGCCGGCAGAGGGAGGCGGGAACCACTGCCCAGAGATGGAGTCCGAAACAATCAGGAAGAGAGAGGAGAGGACTGGCCTTTCCTGAGCAATCGCTCCGTGTCACTCCACGCCGAGCTGGATTAGAGCACCGCTCTGTCGGCAGGGGCATGACAGACATGGATCGTGTGCCTACGTTTGGGTGAACTGGGGTCAATGGATCAGAAAGAGGGGACTTTCCTCTGAGTGGATGCAGCCCCCTCCCACTCCCTATAGACACCCCTATGCAGGCCACAACCTAGACAACTATCCAAGGCGACCTTGGGGACTGTCCCCATGAACATACCCCTCGGGTGTGAGTCTACACCCAGCTGAGGGCCCCCAGGGACAAAGGCCATGCGTTCCCCACTCATCAGTTGCTCCACTGTCCTTGCCTTCTGGTGTGTACGGAACTCCTAGAAGTATCCCTGTGGGCATCTGAAGTCACAGCCCACAGCAGGCGGAGACGCGGCCATCAGCCAGGCCTGGCTCTGCTCCAGCTGGCTGCGTGAGCCTGAGCAGGCCATCCCAACTTTCTGAACTCTGGGTTCCTCATCTGTACAGGTGGTGAGCCTGCTATACTGCTGGGTGCTAATTAAATGAGATAAAGAGAAAGCTTGGTGTGTAGCAGGCCCTTGGAGAAGATAACTCCCCATACCCAACTCCAAGGCCAGGATGGGGCAGAGAATCTCTCTCTCTCTCTCTCTCTGTCTCTGTCTCTCTCTCTCTCTCTCTCTCTCTCCAGCCTGGCTGCACTCCAGCCCCACCCTCCCTACCTCCGATGGCCCTTGTTAAACTCTGCTCTGTTCCCCAAATAGCTCTTGAGAGGCAACTGTCCTCACAGCTAGGCCAGGTTCTTGATGTCAAAATTTGAGCTGCCCCAGAGCTCTGTGCCAGAGCCAAGCCCAAGGTCAGACACCAGGCCCTGCAATGCTCTGTCCATCCATCCTTCCCTCCCTGCATCCCAATCCCCATCCTTCCCACCATCAGAGCCAGTGCTCCATGGACCAGTCAGCCATCCTCCCTCTAGCAGACCCCTGTCCCCAGCATCACTCAGTACCACTCCCATCCCCATCTAATCGTATCTCCATGGCAACCACGGGGCTGGTTGGAGCTCCACTGCTGGGGTGCTGCCCAGGGCTGCTTCCTGACCCCTCAGAACCTTGCTCAGGAGGAACCATTCCCTGGGTTTAGCTGGGTGACTCTGCCTCAGTTTCCCCATCAATATGAAACGTTACCTATGGTACTGCAGTGCAAGGTAAGCACTCCGTGTGACAGCTGTTCTTACCTGTGCCTGGAGCTCCTGTTCTCGTCTCCTGTAAGCTATCAGACAGCTTCGGTGGCTGATCCCACCAGCAAACCCAGAGTCTCTGACCAGGCTGGGAAAATAGTATGTGATCCTGGTGGTGAGCTGGGACTAAGGAAGAAAAAAAGCACTTATTGAGCACCTACTATCTATCAGGCTCTGGCTGAGGGCTTTGTTCATTGGAGTCATGGATAGACCAGAACTTAACCCATACCCAAGGCTCTGTGCCTCCAAATCTAGTAGAAGGGCTGGTGCTGAGCCTTCACTAACTCCACTTGCTTTGGATTTTCAGCTTACCTGGGGAAGGATGCGGGCTTCGATTCAGAGATCTTTAGAAGTAAGTGGGCAGGGGAGGAATGGGCCCCGGTGGGAGGAGGGCCTCCAGGCAGCTCCGGCCCCATAGCTCTTCCCAGATGGTGTCATGAGGTGCTGTCCACTTAGGGACATCACTTGTGAGCTGCTGACTTGCAGACTTACGCCTGAGCTTCACCAGCCATTGGGCGTCCTTGGAACAGAACTGGGCTAGGAGGACAAAACCAAAGGGACAATGGGCTTGACCTTCGGGCAGTCCCCCTTTGGGGCTTCTGTGGTTTACACCTGGACCAGCTCTTTCCCCTCCCTCCCAAGGCCTGGATGCCCTTTCCTGGTCCAAAAACCCCTTTGGGAATTGCCAGTCTTGCCCTATGGGGAGGCCTCAGGGGAGGCCCAGGCTGGAGTCTCAGGCTTCGACCCTGAATTTCTGTCCCTACCCCAGGATCCATGTTTGGCCCCACGGTGGAATTCACATCAGTGCTGAAGCCCGTCTTCGCCCGAGAGAAGGAGCCCTTCTGCCTGTCCTGTTTGTTCTCCGAGGATGTGTCAGACGCGGAGACGAGCATCCAGTGGCTCCGAGATGGTGAGGATGCTGGCCTTGGCCCCGACCTTCAAAAGCACCTCCCTTTAAAGCACAACTCCAAGCCACGGAGGGACCAGAGCCCCTAGGAAAGACATGGAGCCCACCCAAAGGAGGTCACCAACCAACCACAGGGCACCGAGCATTAGACTCAGGCCAGGCCCAGCCAGGGCATGTCCTAGAGGAGGCAGAGACAGCTCCCAGCACGATTGTGGCCACCACCAGGGGAGGCTCTGTTCAGGCCGCAGTGGCCACACTGATGAGGGCGTTGAACCCGAGGCCGAGGCTGCAAGGCAGCACAGCACACACGGCCACATGGGCCCTGTGGCTAACACAGGAGTTTCTCAGACTCAGCTAGCAGGAAGACAAGGTAAAGAACTGCCTAGAGGATCCAAGGGATGTCACAGGAAAGGGCTGGCGTGGGACACACAGCGAAGGCAAGAAGAGGTGGCCTGGCCAAGGAGAAGGATGGCTGGTCTGGCTCTACCCGTCGTGACCAGGCCTGCAGCCAAAAGACAAGGAGTACAACTCCTCCCACCTCCCCACCTCCCCCTCCCCCAGCGGGTGGCTGCACCTGCTGGGGGCAGGCAGTGGCACAAGAGGTCAACAGGAGCCCGAGAGACAGCTGCAGTGACCAGGCTGAGATGTCTCTCCAGACCTGTAGATCGTCCAGAATTAAGTGCTGACAGGAGGAGGAGCGTCGGGGTGGGACGGACAGAATGGACAGCTCTGGGGTGGCGCAGGCCACCAATGCCCCACCCCAGGGACCTCAGTTTCTCAGCCAGGCCTCACTGAGACCCCCTGACTCTCTCAACAAGATTCCAGCCCCTTACTGACCCCCAACAAGACCCACTTGCTTCACTGAGTTTCTCTCTTCCTCCCTCTGAACCCCAAGCCTCCTTACGGAACCCCTGGTCTACCATGAGCCCCGGGACCTCACACAGGACCCCATCAGTCTTCCTCAATGAACCCCCAATTTCTCACCTCACCAACCATTTCCATAAACCCTCTCTCTCCCCTTCAGGCCTACCCCCCTTCCCCAGGCCTGTCCCTTCCTCTAGCTTTCTCCCAGAAGAGTTACCCAGGAAGCCCGCACCCCACCCCACCTGGTCTGGGTCCACGCTGAGCCCCAGGTGGCAGCCATAGCAGCCCTCTCCATGTCCAGAGCAGAACTCCAGATGCGGCCAAGATCACCCACAAACCACACTGAACCCCCTCCCGCCCTGCACAGGCCGGTTGTTGATCTCCTCCGCTCTTCGGCAAATCCTCTACGCAGACCGCCAGGCGTCCCTGAAGGTGTCCTGGGCCTATAAGGAGGACGAGGGGTTCTACAGGGTGCGCGTGGCCACGCCCTCTGGGAACCAGGAGCAGAGCACCTATGTGTTTGTGAGAGGTGAGGGGGAGGATATAGGGAGGGGAGGGCAGTACTTTCTGTGGGGCCTCTTACCCTCAGGATCTGTCCTCAGCCATCAGATGAGATTGTGGGTGAGTGTCTCTCTAAAGACCCCCATAACACCCTATTGACAGGTCCCCCAAAGGACATGTCCCAAGGAAATGGAAGGCCACCTGTGGGGGCTGAAGGACTCTGGTCATTGGGTGAATTCTGCCTCTTGGCCTTTTTTTTTTTTCTTTGCCAGTTCTGGGATTTGAACTCAGGGCCTGGATGCTTTCCCTGAGCTTCTTTTGCTCAAGGCTAGCACTCTACCACTTGAGTCACAGCACCACTTCCAGCTTATTCTGTGTATGTGGTACTGAGGAATTGAACTCAGGGCTTCATGCATGCTAGGCAAGCACTCTACCACTAAGCCACATTCTCAGCCCTGCCTCTTGGCCTCTGAACCCATCCGTGTTCTAATCTTGGTTTGATGGCTTCACTAAGCTGGGTGACTTTGAACACGTCGCTTTACTCTGTGACTCAATTTCCCCATCTACAAAGTGGAGATTGCTCTGGGGCTCTTTAGGTGCTTGGTATAAAATGGGGCCCAAATGAATAGAATCCCCAAGCTTTTTCTGTTGGGAGGCAGGTGTATGGCTATTAATCAGGCCCTGGTACTTGAGGTCAAGTTGAGTCCCTCATCCTCCAAGAGGGCTGGGAGGGGGCGAATATTGGGCAGAAGCTGAGGGAGAGGGGGAGCCAGGTTCCCTAGCAACTCCAGGCCGAGGAATATCCTCCCACCCCATCCTGGGTTTCAGACGCTGCAGCTGAGAAGCCGGGAGCCCCAGGCTCCCCGCTCAATGTCCAGTGCCTGGATGTGAACCGAGACTGCCTCCTACTGACCTGGACCCCGCCCAGCGACACGCGAGGCAGCCCTATCACCAGCTACACCGTCGAGCTGTGAGTCTGGCTCCGGGGTGGCAGAGCCCTCAGGATAGAATGCTCTGTGGCCGTGGGGACCTGAGGGGTGGTCACAGGAAAGGCGGGGGGCATGCCTGGGCTCCATGGCCCTGCAAGTTCCAAGGGAGGCATCGGCTGTTCTGAGCCTTGTGGTGGTGGACATTGGGAAGCCACGCCTCTCCACGGGACAGGACAGGCTTTGAATTGGCCGACTTTAATTAGCTGAGCAGGCAGTGGCCCTACAGAGCTCAGACTGGGAAGGCACGGAGCATGGGCGGGGCTGACCACCAGGGCCTGTCTCTCACAGGTGCCAGGGTGACACTGAGGAGTGGCTCTCCTGCCATGAGGCCCCCTGGGGGACCTGTCGGTGTCCAATCCAAGGCCTCGTGGAAGGCCAGCGCTACCGATTCCGTGTGAGGGCGGTCAGCAGGGCCGGCAGCAGCCTCCCCTCCAAAGCCTCCGAAGCCGTGGTCACCTGTGCCCCTGACGCTCTCCGGGGCAGGACAGGTGAGAGCAGAGGCCCTGAAGAGACAGGCAGTCTGAGCATGCTCAGAACCACCTCACTCAGAAGACAGGTAGCTGGACCCCATTCTAAGGAGGGGGGGTGGGGACTCATACCCCAACCCTTAGGAAGCCCTAAGAAACATAACCCAACCCCCAGGAGGTCATCGCCTGATGGAGGAGGCACCGTCCTGTCCTAGGAACCCCTGGCCTGATGGAGATCACTAACATCTCACAGAGAACTGTGGGAATACAGCACTTTTAGGGAGCTTGGGTTGGCCCCAACTCCGTTATACACATGGACATGGTTCTTCCTCTCTGTCCTCGTCTGCTCCAACAGAGAGAGCCTCTCTCAGGACTTGAGAGAAGCGGAGCCCCACTTTGTACTCCCCAGAAAGCTGGGCCAGAGGCCACCTGCCTGAAGCCACATGGCAAGAGGGCAGAGCCAGGGCTGGTGGGGCAGGACACTGAACCCCCTGCACTCTCCTCCTATCCCCCCAGAAATCCCCTTTGACCTGGGCAGCAAGATCACCATCAGCACAGAGGACTTTGAAGGTAAGTGGGACCCAACGCCTCCCTTCCACACCAGCCCCTTCACAGCTCTAGAACTGGAGGGCACAGGCAGACAAGCAGAGAAGCGGTCCATGCTCCAGGTGTGGGGAGGTGAGGGTCACCGGGTGCTGGGGTCACCATGACCATCTGGCTGTGGGGTTCGTGGAGAAGGCGGCCAGCAAGGAAAACCTCAGTTGAGCGTCCAGGGCGCAGAGCTCTGGTCCCAGCTCAGCCTGGCCTTGCTGCTGTGTACCCTGGGGTGAGTTCCTGCCCTGCTCCAGGCCGTCCTCTGTGGAACACAGGGCTGAGATCAGGGGTCCCGAGGACCCACCCACCCACCTCAGCCCTGGTGACTGGTTCCAGATGCCGTGACCATCCCCTCACCCCCGACCAATGTCCACGCCAGTGAGATCCGAGAGGCCTATGCGGTTCTGAGCTGGGAGGAGCCGAGGCCCCGTGGCAAAGCCCCACTGACGTACTCCCTGGAGAAGGTACCAGAACCCCAGAACCCTGAGGGATCCTCAGAAATACCTGGGAGCCAGGGGGTGGAAAATACAGGGTTTTGAGAAGCCCCCGGGGGGCCTCCAGAGAAGAGGGCATTCCTGGAAGGGCCTGAGCAGTGGCTCCACCCAGAGGCAGGTGGAAGGATAAAATGACCTTTGGCGTGGTGACCTCCAACCTGAGAGCCAGGTGCTCTACTGCCAAGCCACGCCCACAGCCCAAGTCCTGTTATATCTGGATGGCAGTCCCCAAGTCTTGATAGAAAATGCACAGCATGGGGCTGGGAAGGTGGCTCAGTGCTAGAGCACTTGCCTTGCATGCCTGAGGCCCTGGGTTCAATTCCTCAGCACCACATTAGCAAAAAGAAAAAAGCCGGAAGTGGCACTGTGGCTCAAGTGGTAGAGCGCTAGCCTTGACTGAAGAGCTGAGGGCAGCGCCCAGGCCCAGAGTTCAGGTCCCACGACTGGACCCAAAAAAAAAAAAAGAAAGAAAAGAAAATGCACAGCATGGCCGGGCGCCGGTGGCTCACGCCTGTAATCCTAGCTACTCAGGAGGCTGAGATCTGAGGATTGCGGTTCAAAGCCAACTCAGGCAGGAAAGACTGTGAGACTCCTATCTCCAATAAACCACTAGAAAACCAGAAGTGGTGCTGTGGCTCAAGTAGTAGAGTGCTTGCCTTGAGCTGAAGAGCTGAGGGACAGCGTCCAGGCCCAGAGTTCAAGCCCCACGACCGACAGAAAGAAAGGAAGAAAGGAAGAAAGAAAGAAAATGCACAACGTGGGCTGGGAAGGTGGCTCAGTGGTAGAGCACCTGCCTTGCATGCTCAAGGCCCTGGGTTCGATTCCTCAGCACCACATAAGCAAAAAGAAAAAAGCCAGAAGTGGCGCTGTGGCTCAAGTGGTAGAGCGCTAGCCTTGAGCTGAAGAGCTGAGGGACAGCGCCCAGGCCCAGAGTTCAGGCCCCACAACCGGACCCAAAAAAAAAAAAAGAAAGAAAATGCACAGCGTGGAGAGGTGCTGTGGAGTACCCCCTGCCCAAGGCGAGGGTGTGAGGTCTCACAGTGGCTCAGGGCCTGTTTGGGAGGCCGATTGGGGTCACAGGACATGTCCAGAACTAGGAAGGGGCTCTCAAAGGGGTGACTGTGATGGAGTTGGGGCCCTGTACCATGGATCCAGGGCAAGGAGGCAAAGGCAGAGTAGAAAAAAGTGTGGGTTCAAGTTTAAACTGGCTCAAGTTGGGCACTAGTGATATACACCTATAATCCTGATACTCAGGAGACTAAGATCTGAGGATCACAGTTTGAAGCCAGCCCAGGTAGGAGAGTCATGAGACTCCAATTAATTACCAAAAAGCCAGAAGTGGATCTGTGACTCAAGTGGTAGAGTCCCATCCTAGAGAGCACAATGCCCTGAGTTCAAGCTCCAGGACCAGTACACACACACACACACACACACACACACACACACACACACACACACACACACGGAAAGTTCGAATCCTGCTTCTGCTGTGTGATCCCAAGTCAGTTTCCCAACTTCTCTGAGCCCTTAGTTCCTTCCATCCCACTATCCTCTTGCAGTCAGTCATAGGTAGCGGCACCTGGGAAGCCATCAGCCCAGAAACCCCTGTGAAGTCGCCACGGTTCGCCCTTCTGGACCTGGAGAAGGGGAAGTCGTATGTCTTCAGAGTGCGAGCTGTGAACCAGTATGGCATGAGCGACCCCTCGGAGCCCAGCGATCCAGTCTCCCTGAAGGGCGGGCCAGGTACCAGGCAATGTGGGGACTGGGGCAGGAAGCGGCTTGGGCCAAGTTGTCATCCCAGGTTGTTGGGGAAGGAGCAAGCCCTCTTCCTTATCTTGATTCCTTCTACCAGTCATGAAGCTGAAAAGCAGTAAGATATATGGCATCAGAAATCATATTTCTTAGCTGGATGCCAGTGGCTCACGCCTGTAATCCTAACTGCTCAGGAGGCTGAGGTCTGAGGATGATGGTTCAAAGCCAGCCTGGAAAACACCAAAAACATTCTAGGAATGAAGCTCAAGTGGCAGAGTGCTAGCCTTGACCATCAAAGTCAGGGACAGTGCTCAGGCTCTGAGTTCAAGCCTCAGGACTGGCACCAAACAACAACAACAAAAAGATAATCATAGTATTTCTCTGGAAAGTGAGCTCAGGGATGTATGCCCGTTAATCCCAGATCAACAGCTCACAGGTGACACCGCCTGAGCCCAGCCCAGGAGCTCAGTGTGCCTAAGAGGCCTTCATTTCCAACAGTCACTGAGCAGCTCCCCTGAATCCTCCCACCAGGGACACCATGCTGAGCACCTGGCCTCCTGTTTCTGCCTCCATACATCCATGCGCCTTTCGCAATGTATGTTCAGGCCATCAGTAGAGCTTTGAATTCTACCTGTAAACATTAGCACTGTCTTGCAAACATTCCCCCAGGTCATGAACTCTTCTGAAATTCGTCATTTCCAGATCTTTGGGCCACTATTTGCCATAGCTCCTCTCTGCTCAAGCTCTTTGCCCGAGGTAGAAGCCAGTCCCCTGGACCCATGAGCTCCCTGAAGGGCCTCCCCTCCCCCCCCCCAGCCTCTCCCTTCCACATAGCTGTCCTTGCCACTGCGTTCCTCAAACTCAGGGGCCAGTCTCAGTGACAGGACCCTCCTGAGCTCAAGACATCAAATCCATTTCTCAGTTTGTGTATCTTGGGCCAGGACAATGTCTGGCTCAGAGCAGGCTTTAGTGAATACTGTGTTTATGTTGGATAGATGCTGCATTCAGCCCTTTCCTTATCAACTCTGAACTCTGAACCACTAGAACACAAAAGAAGTATCCAAAAGGGAAAGGAAAGGAAGGCTCTAGAATTTGGGGGAGAGAAGGCAGGACTACAGGTAATGCCTGCAGAGAGGTGTGAGTTGAAGGCGTGAGTTAGGCAGGACCTTTAGGGATAACAGAAAAACAGAGTGGATTAAAAGAAAGAAGACTGGAGAAATCCCACATCTGGGACAAAGGGAAGACAAGGGTCACCAATGGATGTATAAAGAGTTTGATAAGCAAAAAGAACTAGAAAGATCATGGCACCTGCCATCCATCCACCCAATCAATCATCCTCCAGCCATTCATCTATCTGTCCTTCTGGCTATACATCATCCACCCACCTACCCATCCATCCAACATGGACATCCATCCTTCCAACCTCCATCTATCCTTCCATCTATCCATCCATATTCATTCATCCACTCATCCATTTAAACACCATCCATCCTTCCAACCATCCATCCATTATTCACTCACCTACCCACCCATCTGTCCAAACACCATCTCTCCTTCCAACCTCCATCTAACCTTCCAACCATCCATCCATCCACTCATCTATCCATTATCCATCCACTCAAACACCATCCATCCTTCCAACTATTCATTATCCATCCATCTAAGAAAACATGGCAGCCCCAACTCAAGAATCTTACTCTTGGGGAGCCGAGACATGGAGAAAGAGTTTCAATGAAAAAAAGAAAAAGAAAAATCAAGGTTTTTTTTTTAAAATATATTAAAACTGAGGAAAGCTAATTTAAATGGTGGGGAGAGGTGGAGAGAGAGAGATTGATTTGTACAGATGAACGGGCAAGGGCTTTGGTGCTGGTGTAAGCAAGCAGATCCTCTCAGAGGTGAACCAAGGGCATTTAGAACAGGAGTCTCCATGTACTTCTGGGCCCAGGCAAACTCAAAACTCACAGGCAGGTCTGGGATGCAGGCACTGCCTCTGACAGCGGTGGGACTCCTCCCTGCCCTTCCCACACTCCTCCCACCCGCAGCCGGTCAAACCATAACAGGGCATCCTCTCTCTCTCTCTGCCCTCATTTCTGTTTTTTAGCTACTCTCCCTCCTCCAGCTCAAGTTCAAGCTTTCCGGGACACGCAGACATCTGTGTGTCTGGCCTGGAAGCCCGTGGATGGAGGCTCGGAGCTCCTGGGTTATTACATTTATTCCCGGGAGGCAGGCTCATCTGAGTGGCACACGGTGAACAACAAACCCATCCAGGACACCAAGTAAGTCCAACTCATCCCCACCCTGTGCCAGGATGTCCCTCCACAAAGGAGGGGCCACTGATATGAAGCCCACCGATTCACAGCCTGCGCCCCCCACAGGTCCTCTAGCTCACTGAAATCCTGAGTTTAGGATACCCAGAAGGAACCTTGGTACCGAGAATTCAAGTATCTTGCACAAAGTCCCAGCGCTAGGAAGTGGAGCCACAAGATGGTTTCTGCTTTGGCGAACACTAGGAGGCACTGTTGTCCGGGGAGAGAGGGGGCCGCCCGCTGGCAGGAGCCCCTGGTAGCACAAGATTCGCCACAGGAAGATGCAGATAAGGAGAAGGGAGAGAGGGGGAGGTCTACAACTGAGGACAATGCTGCCAGCTGTGGTGGTACATGCCTGTAATCTCAGCTAAGCAAGAGGCAGAGGATTACAAGTTCAGGCTAGCTTGGATGGAAGCTAGTGAGACCTAACACAAAAACAAAAGAAAAATAAAAGAACTGGACACGTGGCTCAAGTGGTAGAGCACTTACCAAGCGTGTGCCTGAGGCCCTGGGTTCGATCTCCTGTACAAAGAAAGGAAGGAAGGAAGGAAGAAAGAAAGAAAGAAAAAAAAAATGGAGGGAGGACAACTTCCCCTAAGCTAAAGGGTCAGTTCTTTCAAGGTCTTTAAAAGAACTGCATTTGTGCAGATAACAATCACGTCTTTTTCAAAGTCAAGGCCCAAAGTCCTGAAGATGTCCGGTGTAGCCCTGGTCAGGGATTGGCTGCCTTGGCCTCTGACTGGCACCTCTTGGGTGCACTTGAGCTTGACAGTGGTTTCTGGGGGAGCAGGCCTTCCTTCCAGGCTAGACATTCCCAGTGTGCCATTTCAGGCTTTGCAGGAGGGGGGGGGGAGATAAGCAAGGGGAGGCATGTTTTAGGGGAAGAACTGGCCCCAAAGCCTTGCCTTCAAGGTTGTTCTAGATTGTTCTAGAAGGTTCAGGAAGTCTCCAGATGTTTGGCGGTCCCTGAAGACTTGCACTTCCCTCTCTCAGGTTCATGGTTCCAGGGCTGAACACGGGAAAGGAGTATGAGTTTTGCATCCGGTCGGTCAGCGAGGCCGGGGTGGGCGAGAGCTCAGCCCCCACGGAGGCCGTGAGGGTCAAGCAGGCTCTAGGTGAGTCCCAGGCCGGTCCACTGGACACTCAAGGGCAGCCTGGGCTGGGTGGGAGCCAGAGTGGAGAGGCCACATCGTTAGAGGGTCAATGGGGCCAAAGCCCAAGGAGGGGAACTACAGTTGGCCTGACTACCTTCTTCTCTGGGAGGAAGTGACAATGTCCTGGGGTCACGGGGAGGACCAGTCCTGAATGGATCTCAGGAAGTCCCAGGGAGGCAGAGAGATGCCGCTGGCTCAGGTGGGGCCCTACCTGGATCAGAACGGGCATCCCTAGGGGAGCTGCCACCTCCCTCAGTGGCGCCACCAAGAGGCGTGGCTGCCTCACCCCCCTCCTCCACAGCCACCCCGTCGGCCCCCCGCGACTTTGCGCTCCTGCACTGCGGGAAGAATGACATGGTCATCGGGTGGAAGCCCCCCCGGCGCCGTGGGGGCGGCAAGATCCTGGGCTACTTCCTGGACCAGCATGACTCCCAGGAGCTGCACTGGTGCCCAGTCAGCCTGCAGCCCATCCCAAGCCGGGTCTGCAAGGTGAGGCTCCATGGAATTGTGCCAGGGGAGGCACCACTGGAGGCTCTGGGTCTGAGGAAGGCCTTAGGATTCTATTCTACACGTGGACAGCCCTGTTTAAACCCTTCCAGTGTGTGTGGGGGTGGGGGGGGTCTCTCCCTCTTCCTTCCCCGGCCCCAGGGCCTTCGCTGTCTGCCTTTCTCTTTTATTCTTTTTTTTTTTTGGGGGGGGGGGAAGGGAGGGTCAGTCATGGGGCTTGAACTCTGGGCCTGGGCACTGTCCCTCAGCTCTTTAGTTCAAGGCAAGCGCTCTACCACTTGAGCCACAGCACCACTTCCAGTTTTCTGGTGGTTTATTGGAGATAAGAGTCTCATAGACTTTCTTCCCCAGGCTGGCTTTGAACCAAGATCCTCAGATCTCAACATCCTGAGTAGCTAGGATTACAGGCGTGAGCCACTGGCACTGGCTTTATTCTTTTTGTTTTTTTTTAATGCCAGGTCCTGGGGCTTGAACTCAGGACCTGGGTGCTGTCCCTGAGCTTTTATGCTCAAAGGTCTAGTGCTTTCCCACTTGAGCCACAGCTCCAACTTCCGGCTTTTTGCTGATTAATTGGAAATAAGAGTCTCTTGGAATTTGTTTCCTGCCCAGGCTGGCTTCGAACCTCGATCCTCAGATCTCAGCCTCCTGAGTAGCTAAAATGATAGGCTTGAGCCACAGATTTGAACCCACCTCACAGCCTGTCTCTCTGCCCCCACCAGATCAGCAACCTTCATGAAGGCCACTTCTATGAGTTCCGGGCCCGGGCCGTCAACTGGGCTGGTGTTGGTGAACTGTCTGCACCCAGCAGCCTGTTTGAGTGCAAGGAGTGGACGATGCCCCAGCCAGGTGGGAGCCCTGGAAGGCTGGTGTTCTGTACCAGGCTCCCCCCTGAACCCAAAGCACACGTGCTACCACACCCTGTGCATCCGGGCTTTCTCTCCTGGCTAGACCTTCACACACACACACATACACACACACACACATACACACACACAGAGCTGTAGTCCCTGGTACAGACTGTCTGAGGCCTGTCTTAGAGACCCCACCATCACCTGAGCCCCAGCACTGACTGTCCCCCAACTTGACACACGATTTGAGGTCTGGTTCTAGGCAGAGACCCACTGGGAAGCCCAAGGCCACGCTGCCAGGGTGAGCAACTCATCCCAGCTTGCCCATTTGCTACTCAGAGTCCCATGTCCCAGGAGTTCCCTTGGTCCTGCACAAACACGGCAGCTGGCCTCCTTGAACTCGGCCCACGTGACCCCATTCTCCTTCTCATGAGTGAACCCCTCAGCAATCCCAGGAGCACAACCTCTTTTTTTTTTCCACAAAACCTTTACCAGGAATTACAATATGTGATCCCAACCCTTACAAACAGCAAAGGTTTATTAGGCACTTACTATATACTCTCCACAAATTATCTCAGTACTGCTCACAACAGCATTTTTTTTTTCGGTCGCGGGGCCTGAATTCTGGGCCTGGGCACTGTCCCTTAGCTCTTCAGCTCAAGGCTAGAGCTCTACCACTTGAGCCACAGGCCACTTCTGATTTTTTTCTGCTTATGTGGTGCTGAGGAATCGAACCCAGGGCCTCGTGCATGCGAGGCAAGCACTCTACCACTGAGCCACCTTCCCAGCCCAGAGCAATCTTTTTGCTTTGTTTTGCCAGCCCTAAGACTTGAACTCAGGGCCTGGGCACTGTCCCTGGGGTTCTTTGTTCAAGGTTAGTGCTCTACCACTTGATCCATAGCTCCCCCTCTGGCTTCTTTGGTGAGAAACTGGAGATGAGAGTTGTGGACTTTCCTTTCCCAGGCTTGCTTTGAACACAATCTTCAGAGTTTAGCCTCTTGACTTCTTAAACTGGGGGAGTGGGGAATCTACTACTTGGAGTTGGAATGTAAAGCCTCATACCTCCTAGACAAGCACTCTACCACTTGAGCCACACACCCCTAGACACTTTGCTTTTATTGTAGTTTGTTTTTAAGATAGGATCCCCAAGTCTAGCACCAGTGGCTCATGCCTGTAATCCTAGCTAACACAGAAGGATGAGATCTGAGGATTGAAAGCCAGCCTGGACAGACAAAGCCTACTAGATTCTTATCTCCAATTAACGAGCAAAAAGCCGGGAGTGGAAGTGTGGCTTAAGGAGTAGAACACCAGCCTTGAGTGAAAAAGCCAAAGCAAGAGCACAAGGCCCTGAGTTCAATCCCAGCAGCAGCAGCAGCGCGCGCACGCACACACACACACACACACACACACACACACACAAGATAAGGGATCCAGCTTTAGTCTGGTCATCCTTGAATTATGATCCTCCTACCTCTGCCTCCTGAGTAGCTGGGATTACAAGTGTGAGCCACCATGCCAGTTCAGAGGCAAACAACATCCCCATCTTATAAGAACTGTCAGGACTGAGGCATGGCTCAGCATCTGCCTCACGGTGTAGATCTGAGTTCAAGCCTCAGAACTGCAGATGAGGAGTCCAGAACATGGAGGCTGAGAACTCACCTTGAGTCCCTGTCACCAGCAAGGACGATGGGCCCTGAGCCCTGGTGGTGTAGCTCTCAAGGCCCCACCCTTGGAGCCGACCCCAGATGCTGAAATGAGATGCCTCCTGGGGTGGGTCTGGGAAAGGCCAGGGAACCTTCCCAGCAGCGCTGAGCACATTTTGAAGAGTTAACCCTGCAGACGCCTTGGGCTGAGCTTTGTTATGAAGCCAAGGCTGGCCGGGCCTCCACGGTGCCCCACAGAGGCGTTTCCAGGCTGGGTGGTGACTGGCTGGCAGGTGATTGGCCAGCTTGCTGCCTGACCGCCAGGCTCGCGGCCCGCATGTGCAGCTGGCTGGATGGCTGCTGCCTGGCTCCTAACCACACATCCCTGCCCCATCTCTCTTCCCCCAGGCCCCCCATACGACGTGCGGGTGTCCGAGGTGCGGGCTACTTCCCTGATGCTGCAGTGGGAGCCCCCGCTGTACACGGGCGCTGGACCAGTCACGGGCTACCGCATCAGTGTTCAGGAGGAAGGCTCTGAGGAATGGAAGCCCGTGACCCCAGATCCCATCTCTGACACCCACCTGAGGGTGAGTTCCCGCCCCTTCACCCCCTTACCAGCCCAGAGCCTTCCCTGCCACTGAACACCCAAGCTAGAGCAACCCTCAGAGAGCACTTCCCTAACCTAATGGCAACAGAGGACCAGAAAGGGAGAGTGGTCTACCCAGGGTCACACAGTAAGTGGTTAGTAGGCCTGGCTGGCCTGGTGGCCTTACACTAGGTGCCCCCCCCCCCCCATAAACACCAAGGTGTTTATCCCACCCAGTTTTATTAGCATCTGAATACACATATCCCTTTACCCAGAAATTCTGCTTCTAATATGGATGAAGTGTAGGGAAGCAATAAGCACATGTGTAAAGACCTAGGGCAGTGATACCCACTGTAGTACGTGGTTTATGAACTGCAGAGGTGGCTGCAGTTTACACATTGACCAGTAGGGGCAGCTGCTGGGATAAATCACGATGCATCCTGTGCCAGGTGACACAGAGTCAGACGGTGTCATGCACGGGAATATTATCAAGAATACACTAGGAAGCCAGGTGCCAGTGGCTCACACATGTGTAGTCCTACCTACTTGGGAGGCTGAGATCGGGGGACCATGATTCAAAACCATTCCAGGCAGACAAATCTGTGAGCCTCTTATCTCCAGTGAAGCACCAAAAAGCTGGAGGTGGGGGTATGACTCAAGTAGTAAAGCACCAATCTTGAATGAGAAAGCTAAATAAGAGCACAAGGCCCTGATACTGGCTCAGAAAGGAGGAAATGGAGGAAGAGGAGGAAGTAGAGAAGGAAGTAGAGGAGGAAGATGAGGAGGAGGAGGAGGAGGAGGAGGAGGAGGAGGAGGAGGAGGAGGAGGAGGAGGAGGAGGAAGAGTTGTTAGGGAAGGTCTAAGGGAAAAGTCAAAGATGACCACAGGTCTGGTTTCCAGCTCTGGACAGAAGGCCATAACCATAGAGGGCAGGGACAGGAGAGGATTCCCTTGCTGAAAGTAGGAGGATGAGTTAAACTTCAAGCAGGTTCCAGGTGCCAGTGTCCAGGAGGTCAAGAAGGATGGCTGGCCCATGGAGCCCCTGGAATTCAGGATGTGTGCTTTGCCTGCCTCCTCCCTCCCCCCCCCCCCCCCGGCCACGGCAGCTGAGCCTCTTCAGGCCCCCTGTGCTCTGGCCACAGTTCCAGGAGGAAGCATCTTGGTTGATCTCAGGTTTTGCTCTTGCTCTCCCCCAGGTGTCTAACCTGCAGCCTGGAAAGACGTACGTGTTCCAGGTCCAGGCCATGAATTCAGCTGGGCTGGGACAACCATCCATGCCCACTGACCCTGTGCTCCTGGAGGACAAGCCAGGTAGGGCAGCCTTGCAGAGAGTGCCAACATCCACCGCTGCACTGTGTTCTTGAGGATGGGCAAAGCTCTTGGCAAGATGGGGAGGGGACATGGGTGCCGGTGGCTCACACCTGTAATCCTAGCTACTCAGGAGGCTGAGATCTCAGGAAAGTCTGTGAGACTCTTACCTCCAATAAGCCACCAGAAAACCGGAAGTGGAGCAGTGGCCCAGTGGTAGAGCACTTGAGTCATGCAAAAAAGAGCTCAGGGACAGCACCCAGGCCCTGAGTTCAAGCCCCACAACTGACCAAAGCAAACAAAAACCATGGTACTCCAGTGGACAGGGTCATTCTAACCCGGGCAGTCGGGGAGGGACTCTGGAAGGAGGTGACATGTGAGCAGAGGAGGGGCCAGCCCCTACAGGGCCTTGGAAGCCACTGTGTGACCAGCCCGCCATGAGTGTTGTGATCTTCAGGAGCAGTGGCAGACACTGGAGAGTTATTAATTACAGATCTCTGAATCTCCTCCTCAGATGCCCAGGAGATCAAGGTCGGCGTGGATGAGGAGGGCCGCATCTACTTGGCCTTTGAAGCCCCTGAAGCCCCTGACTCCTCGGAGTTCCTGTGGGCCAAAGATTACCAGGGCCCGCCGGCCCCCCAGAGGGTGGAAATAGAGGACGAAGTGAGCAAGTAAGTGAGGAGGAGAGGAGGGGCGATGGCCCAGAGCCTGGCAGAGCTGGGGGGGGGGGGAGGGGACCCACATGGCCGGGCTCACAGACTGGAGGAAGCAAGGGAAGGGTGTGTTTCAGGGCCTAAAATAGTGGTTGGTGTGTGTGTGTGTGTGTGTGTGTGTGTGTGTGTGTGTGTGTGTGTTCCTGGGGCCTGAACTCTGGGCCTGGGCACTGTCCCTGAGCTCTTCAGCTCAAGGCTAGAGCTCCACCACTTGAACCACAGAAACACTTCCGGCTTTTCCTGCTTATGTGGTGCTGAGGAATCGAACCCAGGGCCTCATGCATGGGAGGCAAGTGCTCTACCACTGAGCCACCTTCCCAGCCCCTGTCCCTTAGCTTTTTCACTCAAAGATGGTGCTCTATGTCTTGTGCCACAGCTCCACTTCTGGCTTTTGCTGGTTAATGGGAGATCAGAGTCTCACAGACTTTCTTGCCTGGGCTGGCTTTAAACTGCAGTCCTCAGGTCTCAGCCTCCTGAGTAGCTAGGACGACAGGCGTGAGCTGTGGTTCTCTGCCGGTAGAGTCTCCCAGGGCGGCAGCTCCAGTTCCTGCTAGACAGAGCTGAAGCAGGGCAGTATTTGGCAGGGGCCTCCAGGGCCTCTGCTCCAACCTCTCATTTCATCCACAAGGAAACCAAATCCAGAAAGCACATTAGTGAGACCCAGGCTAGAGCCCTGACCAGGAGGAAGACAGGGCAGCAGGGCAGCGGGCAGAGCCAAGCAATGGGCCTTTCGATGGTGCCAGGCCAAAGGAGAGCCCAAGGGGGTTCTCCAGACCCCAATTGGCTGGGGTCTGAAAAGGGGGTACAGACCGCCTGAGCCAAGGGAATTCCCCAGCTCCCAGGCCTGCATCGCCTAAGGCTCGCACGCGCGCACACACACACACACACACACACACACACACACAGAGCATTGCTCTCCTCTTCTGCCAGGTCCAAGGTCATCCTGAAGGAGCCTGACCTTCAGGATCTGGGCATCTACTCAGTGGTAGTCACAGATGCGGATGAAGACACGTCAGCAAGCCACATGCTGACAGAGGAAGGTATGGTCCTTGTTCCCCACCACTCCCCAGGGAGACGCCCCAAGCCACAGTCCCAACACAGATGCCCCTAGAAGGCCGGCAAGGGACCGCAAAGATATACAACCGCCCTTGCATGCCACCCCCTTCCTCTCACTTGACCAGTCAATAAATACCTCCTGGGCACCTGCTCTGGCCATGCACGGCTCCTTGCACTGTCCCAGGCCCTGGGAGCCACAGTGACAAATTCCCTAGGCAAATTCGCTGCACAGCAGAATCTGCATTCTTCTTGTCTCTCTTTTGTGTTTCCACTTTGGGCAAAAGGCAAAGGTTCCAGAATCCATGTTATTTCCTTCTATAACCTAAGAAGAAGAACACAATGGTGGTCATGAGTCACAGAGGGCAGTGGCTTTGAGGCTGGGGGGTGAGGATAGGAGGGGGTGAGGATAGGAGGGGGTGAGGGCGGAGGCTACAGGACGTCCACATTTGTGGACTTGACTGGTGGTAGCTGAGGAGATTTCCCCCGCCCCCCAGTCTCCATAGCAACCAGGGCAGCCCATGCCCACCGCCTCCCCTGCTCAGCGCCCTCCAGTGCCTTTAATTCTGCCAAGAAGCAAATGCCAGAGAGGCCTAGGCTCCAACGCCAGTTCCTCAGGGCTGGGAAGCTCACATGCCCTCTCAGACCTCAGTTTCCGCCTCTGTGCAGGGTCGTTTTGCCTGTTTTTTGGTGCCAGTACTGGGGCTTGAACTCAGGGCCTGGGTGCCATCTCTTAGCTTTTTTTTTTTTTTTTTTGCTCAAGGCTAGTCCTCCACTACTTGAGCCACAGCTCCACAAAGGCTTTCTGGTGGTTCATTGGAGACAAGAGTCTCATGGACTTTTCTGCCCGGGCTAGCTTCGAACCACAGTCCTCAGATCTCAGCCTCCTGAGTAGCTAGGATTACAGGGGTGAGCCACCAGCACCCCAGCTTTCCCTTCTGTACAGGGGGATTCGAAGCTCCATCCGCCCTGTCTGAAACAATATTGTTGTCCGATACAATTCAGTGATCCTGTGCACACTGAAGTTACCCACAAACCTGGCGGTGTTTGGGGGACCTTTGTGGGGACCAGGGCGGCAGGGAGGACTTGCCATGGACCCATTCTGGGGTTCTAAAGCCACAGGAGGCCTGGGCTCTGACCCCGCAGTACACATTTACTGAGCGCTTACCGAGTACTAGGCGTTCATGTAGGTCCAACCAGCACTCAGCTCAGCAGGAGAGACAAACCTCAGGCACAGAGGCAGCCAGCTGTGGAGCTGTGGGGGCTGGCCAGGCTGAAGGGCTGGGCTCAGGAGGGCAGGTGGGGCTGCACGGAGCCTGGCACGTGGTGCGGGCTCCCCGGGGAGCTGGGAGAAGCCAGCACTACCAGCATGGTCTCCTTAGTGCCCAGCTCAAAGCCCTCTGTGCTCAGCCCCTGTGCAGCACGCGACCCCAGGCTGTGGGGGAAGGGGAATGGAGGATCTCTTGGGACTGCACATTATAGGACCCTGAGATGGCTCCCGCGGATCCCTGGTGTGTCATTGTCTCTGTTTCCTGCCCCTTCCTGCCTAGAGCTGAACAAGCTGAAGAAGCTGAGCCACGAGATCAGAAACCCAGGTGAGCAGCCAGGTGGCAGCTCCATGACCTGAGCAGAGCTGACTCACGTGGAGAGCCAGGAAACACCGGGGGAGGGGGGGGGCCACAAACAGAGGCAGCAGAGGCAGGGAGGCGGGGCGAGGAAAGGAAGCACAAGGTCCGGTCCCTCATCTCCAGTACCATCATCACCATCACCACCAGCACCATCACCACCCTCATCACTATTACCATCACCACCATCATTATCACCGTCACCATCACCATCATCACCATCATCACCACCATTACCAGCACCTCCAGCAGCATCTAGATCTTAGCTCATCCAAACCTCTGCTTCCCTCCTTTGGCTCTGGGTGATGGAGTCCTGGAGCCAGTGTCACAAGCGTGACCAAGAGCTTTTCAACCTCCCAGTGCCCAGGCCACGCCCACCACAAATCAGAGTCACTGGAGGCGGGGTCGGACACCAGTGTTTCCCCACGTCCCCCAGGATGCAGTGCCCAGCGGGGCTGGGGACCAAAGGCCCACAGCCTCTGAAGAGGAAATGCTTTTCTGAGATGAAATAGAACCGAAGTGAGCACACAGAAAGTGTTCCTCGCACCCCCAGCCCGGTCCGGCTTCCTCCAAGCTTGTCACACTTCAAATGCCAGCCCGGGGTCCAAAGGGGCCTAGCCAGAAGCAGAGAAGGGTGAGGGCTCCCTACTCATTCCCTCCCCGTCCTGTGCCTCCCAGTGATCAAACTCATCTCTGGCTGGAACGTGGACGTCCTGGAGCAAGGAGAGGTGCGGCTCTGGCTGGAAGTGGAAGCGCTGACCCCGGCGGCTGAGCTGCACCTCATCTTCAATGAGAAGGAGATCTTCAGCTCCCCGGTAAGTAGCGTGCGCTGGCTTTGAGTTCTGGGTCCCTGGTTGTCTCGGGAATGTTACTTCAGGAATGGCTATGTGCTCTGGCTGTCCCCACAGCGTGGCTGGGCCGTGGATACTGGGCTTGTACTGCAAGGCGGGTAGGAGGCTGGGATCTCGGATGCTACCCAATGCAGGGAGATTTCTACCACCAAAGGATATTCCATGCTTCCAGCGTCTTCCTAATGTCCCATCAGACATCCTCAAGATGGGAAAACTGCATTCACACTCACAGTTATCTAAGCCTAGGTTAGCCCTGGTGACTCACGCCTGTCATCCTAGCTGCTCAGGAGGCTGAGAGCTGAGGTGGAGGTCGGGTTCAGCGCCGGTCCAGACAGGAGAGCCTGTGAGACTCTTATCTCCAATTCACCAGCAAGCCAGGACGTAGGGGTGTGGCTCAAGTGGTAGAGCACCAGTTTTGAGTGTAAAAGCTAAGGAACAGTGCCCAGGCCCTGAGTTTAAACCCCATTACCAACGCCAACACATACACCACACACACACACACACACACACCCCAAGCCCCCCCACTTCAGGATCCTCTGGATGGGAACATTACAAAGGACCCTGGGGCTTTTCTCCCCAGAACCGCAAGATTAATTTTGACCGTGAGAAGGGGCTGGTGGAGATTATCATCCAGCACTTGTCTGAGGAGGACAAAGGATCATACACAGCACAGCTCCAAGATGGAAAAGCCAAAAACCAGATCACCCTGGCCCTGGTGGATGACGGTCAGCCTCACCTGAATCTGTCCCCTCCCCTCCCCTTCTCGAGCGAGCAAGAGCCCTCACCCCCTAGCTCTGGGGGGCCCGCTGAGCGTGACCCTCCTTCTGTTCACCCCTCTGGGGTCCTGCCTTTATACCTCTCCCACCCTGTGTGTTCACAGATTTTGACAAACTCCTGAGGAAGGCAGATGCCAAGAGAAGAGACTGGAAGAGAAAGCAAGGTAAGAGCTGCTGGTGTGGAGCCCACAAGCTTAGGCCTTGGAGAGTCTCCCCTGCAAGTCCACACCCAGCTCTCTCCTTCCTCCATCCCTGGCCTCAGACATGTCTGAGGGACCAGCAGTCATTAGCAGCCTCCTCCTGGGTTGGCGTCCCCAGGCTGACCACTAGGGGGCGCCCTGACTAAACCCGGATGCCTGGGCTGTTTGTGCACCTGCAGGACCCTATTTCCAGGAGCTGTTGCAGTGGCAGATCACAGAGGACTGCCAAGTGCTGCTGACCTGCAAGGTACGACTTACCCACCTCTGTCCCTAGGGCCCCGGGCATCTGTATGCTGAGGAGCCCTGCCACACTGCTCCATGCAGACTAGTAACTTTTTTTTTTTTTTTTTGCCTTCCTGGGGCTTGAACTCAGAGCCTGAACACTGTCCCTGAGCTTCTTTTGCTCAAGGCTAGCACTCTACCACTTGAGCCACAGCACCACTTCTGGCTTTTTCTGTTGATGTGGTACTGAGGAATGGAACCCAGGGCTTCATGCACGCTAGGCAAGCACTCTACCACCAAGCCACATTCCCAGACCCCAGTAACATTTTATTTCATCTGCCTCATCATGATCTGGGGTACAGGTGTTATTTATGTATGAAAAAGTGTATAAAGAAGCTGGCTGCTGGTGGCTTACGCCTACAATCCTAGCTACTCAAGAGGCTGAGATCTGGGGATCATGGTTCGAAGTCAGCCAAGGCAGGAAAGTCTATGAGACTCTTATCCCCTTAACCACCAGAGAATTGGAAGTGGTGCTATGGCTGAAGTGGTAGAGCGCTCGCCTTGAGCTGAAGAGCTCAGGGACAGCGCCCAGGCCCAGAGTTCAAGCCCCGCCACCGACAAAAGAAAAAAGAGAGAGAGAGAAAGCCCGCTGGGGTCCCCTCACACCCCACTTTCCTCAGGTGACCAACACCAAGAAGGAGACTCGCTTCCAGTGGCTCTTCCAGAAGAAAGAGGCTCCAGACGGCCAATACGACCCGCAGGCCGGGACGGGACTTCTCCGAATTGAGCAGGTGAGTGTCGCTGAGGCTCCCGGGTGCCAGGATAAGCACCGGGCGGAGTCCACAGCTCTGCGACAAGGGGAGGCAAGTGAGGCATCACCCAGGGCTGCCATTTACAGGGCACCAAAAACTCCATCGAGGTAACTAAAGTTGATGGTGCAGTATTCTGTGTGTGTGTGTGCGCGCACACACAGGCATATGACAGTGTTGGGACTTGAACTCAAGGCCTGGGAGCCATTATTTAGCTTTTTTTGGTAAGGTTGGTGTCCTAACATCTAAGCCACAGCTCCACTTATCATTTTTTGGTGACAGAGATAAGAATCTCGGATTTTTCAGCCCAAACTGACTTCAAATCATGATCCTCAGATCTCAGCCTCCTGAGTAGCTAGGATTACAAGTGTGAGCCAACAGCACCCAGCAGTGCAAGGTTTTTAAAAATTAAAATACCAAAACCAAATAGTCATCAGTAACAACAGAACCAGGATTACTGATTTTTTTTTCCTTTTGCTTGGGTGCCAGGCCACCGCCCCTGCTGTGCAGCATGGGGCTGGTCACTGTCCCGCTCTGATCTCAACTTTCAACTGCTTCCTCAATGATTCTCCCTTCCCACAGTCTAAGGCTGAGGATGGAAAAGATGTCTCCGAGTGAGGCAGCCCAGAGGAGTATAAACTGAGGCCCAAGGAGAGAAGGGCCTTGTCTGTGTCCACACAGAGTTGGGGGCAAGCCTAGAAACCCCGCTGCCTGACTGCTGCCCAGCCATCCTGGAACCCGTGCAGACGCTGCCGTCTCCCCTCCTTCTTTCCAGATGTCCAGGGAGCACCAGGGAACTTACAGGGCGGTGGTTTCGGATGATCGAGGGGAGGATGACACCATATTGGACCTCACTGGCGAAGGTGGGAGCCGGCCGTGCCCGCGAGGGTCCCGGCCAGCTGTGTGGGGATCACAGTGCAGCTGGACACTGTGAGATATGACCTGTGACCTAAGATCCCTGGGATCCCCGTGTCACCGGAGGGAACAAGTCACAGAGAGGGGCCATGGCCGCCCTGGTTTGCACAGCAAATCAGTCGCAGGGGCCTGGTATGTGTGATGCCACAGCAAGCCCAGCCTTGGAGCCCAGGAACCAGAACACTATTCTCCCCTGAAGAAGGCCCAGGCTGCGCATGAGGCTGGCTGGCCTGGCCTACCAGGGCATTGTCAGGTTAGGTGTGGTGTGGTGGTTCAATCCTATAATCCTAGCTACTTGGGAGGCAGAGATCGGGGCTGGGGGAGGGGGCGGGGTGCAGTTTGCAGCTAGCCCAAGCAGAAAATGTCTGGAGAATCCATCTGAACCCATGGCTGGGCGCCTGTTGCCCCAGTCATGAGGAAAGCACTGAGGCTGGGCACCGGCATCTCCTAAGAACAAACGGGATCACAGCCCAGGCTAGCTCAGGGCAGTCATGTGACAAAACCACACTGGAGGCACAGCTCCATTGCTAGAGGGGAGGGTAGAGTGTCTCCCTAGCAACACCAGGCCCTGAGTTTGAACCCCAGTACTACAGGAAGAAAGAGAAGAGAGAGTGAAGAAAGAAAGAAAGAAAGAAAGAAAGAAAGAAAGAAAGAAAGAGAGAGAAGGAGAGAGGGAGGGAAGGAGGGAGGGAAGGAGGGAGGGAAAGACAAGAAAGTTGTTAGGTGGTTCTGTCTGTCCTGGACTCATGGAGGCCCCTGGGCCCCCTCTATCCACATCACCTCAGAGCCCTCCCACTCCCAGACTGTCCAACAGAGTTTCCTGTTCCTGAGAGCAGCTCTGTACACCACCATGCTTTTCCAAGGCTGCCCCCACCCCCAGGACAAAATCTTAGGGGCTCCCCACCCAGCTGACCATGCTTTGTCTCCCCCCAGCCCTGGATGCCGTCTTCAACGAGCTGGGCAGAATCAGTGGTGAGTGAGCCAGCCTGCAGCTTTGCCCGGCCCCGCCCCCGCCCCCCCATGCCAAAGAGCCTGGGCGTTGGGAGACTCCCACCAGCCCCGTCTGGATTTAGTGTCCAACCTCCAAGCTGGGCGAGAAGCCCCTGCCTCCCCACGGAGCCCTGACCCCACCACCATCACCCCCAGAGCAGTAGAAAGAAGGCTGGCCCCAATGCGCGCCCCCTTCTTCTGTGCCTCCCCCAGCCCTCTCTGCAACTCCACTGAAAATCCAGGGCACTGAGGAGGGCATCCGGCTGTTCAGCAAGGTCAAGTACTACAACGTGGACTACATGAAGACCACCTGGTTCCACAAGTAGGTCGGCCTGGCCCCAGGGCCTGGCCAGTTGGAGCCCAGAATGTGCCTCTTGGAGGCCTCCCTCCCCCTGCCAACCCCTCCCACCAGGCTCAGTTGGCACTGATGAGGGCGGGACTCTGGTCCTGCTGTCCTCACGTGTGGTAGGGATAGGAATCAGCAGTCCCTGAAGGGCTTTCCTCAGGGAAGATGGAGATTCTGGTGGTAGGGCCATTCTTCTAGAATGGTCCTGATCCCCAAGCAACAGCATCTGGGAGCTGGTGGATTGAGGGATGCAAGAACAAGGAAGAAGCAATCAGGTAGGTGATGCTACCATCGGGGGCCTCTGCAGCCTTTGCAAACCCAGGCAGCCAGGCTTCAAGGAAAGGAACAGACAGGCGTGTGGAGATGGTGACAAAATTGCAGGGCTTGATAGCACGAGAGAGAAGGTTTCCACAGAGCTAAGTCACCCCCAGACGGTTTAAGAGCAGAACTGCCCCCCGTGTTTCTCATCACGTGCATGCCTCAGCCTCGGGGAGCAGACATTACTGCACACATTCTCTAGAGACTGCCAGGCTGACTTAGTCACAAAAGAATGAGGGCCAAGGTGCAATGGAATTTCAGGACAGTGGAGCTCTTTCGCTTTCAAGGGTTTCCAAACCCTGTGGCAAACAGGCTCAGGACACTGGGGACACAGGCTGGGAGACTTCAGGAATGAAATTGAAGTAAAGAAGGGGGAGAGTGTACCTTGCCTTGGTTTCTAAAGGAACAAAAAAACAACCTGGGACGGTTTAAGATGAGAGTAAAGAGGCGAGAAAGTAGCTCCTGAGGTGTCATTCTCAGCATCAGCCAGCTTGCACATAGATGATTTCCCAGAGATTTGTTGAATGAAGGAATGAGAAGTGGAATGGTGAATGAATGATTGGCTCATGAATGAAGGGTAAATGAAAGAGTGATTGAATGATGAGTGACTGATAGATGGATAATTGGCTAATGGATGAAAGATGATTGCTTGATGGCGAATGGTTGGCTGATGAATGAATGATTGAGTGATGGTGCATGGGGGAGAATGAACGAATGGGTTGATTGATAGATGAGTGGTTGGATGAATGGATGGTGGGATTATGAATGGCGAAGCAGGTAGATCTGAGTGGATATCTAGTGAATGGTCTCCGCCTTTATCCCAAGGCCTTGGGGCCAGCCCCTTGAGTTGGGGCCCGGGCAGGGCAGGCTGGGCCCGCAGCCAGCCACCCTAGGCCCCACTCTGCCCTCACACTTAGGGAGAAGCGCCTGGAGAGCAGCGATCGGGTTAGGGCGGGCACCACCCTGGATGAGATCTGGCTCCACATCCTGGACCCCAAGGACTCCGACAAGGGCAAATACACCCTAGAAATCACTGCTGGGAAGGAAGCCCGGCAGCTCTCGGCGGATCTGTCAGGGCAAGGTGAGCTGACAGCTAGTCTCTTGGCCCAGAAATCTGTTTAGAAAACTCCATAGGGATAGGCCCTGGTGGCTCATACCTGTCAGCCTAGCTACTCGGGAAACTGAGATGAGGAGGATCGCTGTTCAGAGTCAGTCTGAGCAAAAAGTTCATGAGACCTTATCTCAACCCGTACAAAGCCCACATCTGTCCTCCCAGCTGTGCGGGGGGAGGGAATTGGGAGGATCGTGGGACCAGCAAACACATTCACAAGACGTCATCTCTGTAGAAGAAACTGAGCCTGACCACAGTGTATCCAATACACTGGGGGAGGCATAAAATAGAAGAATCATGGCCCAGGCATGAACTGAGGGGAAAAAAAGAAAAAGATAAAGAAAAAGCAGACCCCTATCTCAAAAATAACCAATGCACACCAGGTGCCAGTGGCTCACGCCTGTCATCCTAGCTACTCAGGAGGCTGAGATCTGAGGATCGCATTTCAAAGCCATCCTGGGCAGGAAAGTCCATGAGACTCTTATCTCCTATAAACCACCAGAAAACCGGAAGTGGTGCTGTGGCTCAAGTGGTAGAATGCTAGCCTTGAACTGAGGGACAGCACCCAGGCCCAGAGTTCTAGCCCCATGACTGAAAACAACAACAACAACAGCAATAATAATAATAATAACCAATGCAACATTGAGCTGAAGTTGTGGCTTAGCAGCAGAACACCTACCTAGCAACCGCAAAGCGCTGAGTTCAAATCTCAGTACAACACCACCACCACCACCATATGACACTGAAGTAGCACACACATGTAATCCCAGCATTCAGGAGGAAAAAGGTCAACAAATTTGAAGACAGCCTAGTAGTGAGACCCTGTCTCAAAAAAAAAAAAAATTCTAAAAAGAAAGAAAATCACATTGTCTTTATAAAGACTCCCCCAAATCCTGGCACTGCCGCAAGGCAATACAGCAATGGGAAGGAGAATGGAGGAGAGTGGGCGCCAAGCCCTGTCCCTGGGGGTTACCCTGCAGAGGCCTGATGCACACGTTCCCTTCTGTCCTTCTTGTAGCTTTTGATGACGCCCTGGCTGAACACCAGAGACTGAAGTAAGATCCCCCCCCAACCTTTCTGAGTGTGAATTGTGGGTTCCCCCGGGGTGTGGTGTGAACTGTGCTCTGGCCCCTCCTAGGAGCCCCCAACAAGCTCCACTTTCCCTCCCCCTCCTCCCCTCTCCCACAGGGAGCCCCACAATGGAGCCCCACAATCTTGTTCCTGTTTCTGTTTTCCAGGGCCTTGGCCATCATCGAGAAGAGTAAGTCCCTGACCTTTCTATTGCTTTTGCACACGCTTTCCCGGAGCTCTGGAAGGCTCTGGAGAGGCCTGAGCATCAGCCCTGTGAAGACAACAGAGGCACAAGGAGCCGAAGGAGTCCTGAGGCTGGGGGTTGGACGTGCCCCGTCCGGGTGTGGCGCTGAGCAGACACCTTGGCGGGCCAGGAAGGCAGGGGACGGGGATGGTGACACAGGCTGGCCTTCCTGAGAGGGCTGTGGGAAGGGGACCGTTTAAAACGGAAGCTGCCTGATCTAGTCCAGGGTCAACCCTGCGCCCGGAGGGACAGAGGAACCAGCCCTGAGCTGCCAGGGTCGCTGCTGCAGCGGCTCTCAGCGTGAGCCAGCATGGATGGCCCAGGGCTGGGTGTCTGGCCAGCGTGGGAAGTAAGGATTCAATGAGAGACAGAGCCCAGAGCTCTGCCAGCCTACCCCTGTGGAAGGAGCCTGGACAGGAACCACCAGCACGGGGATGTCTGCGCACTTCCTGTGTGGTGCCAGTGTCCCCAGTGTCCCCGGGAGTTGAGTTCAGGACCGCCATCCACCCATGGAGGGGTGTGAGCGGCCACGGCACAGAGCCCCTCCATAGATCAGCCAGTTCAGCGCACTGACGCAGCCAGAGAACAGCGTAGGCCCTGATCCCGCTAACCATCTATGCCCAGCCCAGATGACCCCTCCCGTCCCGTCCTGCCAGGTCTCTAGACAGGACACGCCATCCAGGACTCCCATAGAGACAATCTGAAGTCACCAGCCTGGGAATCAAGCCGTGGAGAACACACAGTTCTCCCAGCCACCAGGACTGGTGACAACATCTGCCCTCCACCCCCCACCCCACCCCCACCCCGCCTCCCTGCCATCTGTGGGACGCAGCCCCTGCCTCAGGCTCTTCGCACTTCCTCCCCTCCCACAGCCCTCCCTGCAGCCTAAGGAACACATTTGGCTTTCTGCTCCATGAGTTACAGTCACAGGCTCATCCTCCCACCCACAGTGGCCTCTGCATCTCTCTTTGACTCCAAAGGCCCGAGTCCCATTTTTCCTGACCTCCTCTTGGTCCACTCCCTTAATAGATTGGCCACACGCTTGTGGGAATGTTGCCAGTTTAAGTTCAGAGCAATCTCGTCTACCTTCTTTGTTGAGGACAGGGACACCTCACTGTCCTCTCCAGGTACCACCAATCATAATGACCTAAAAGCAGAAACATACTACCTTTCATATCTTCTACCCAAGAACATGAGGGAGAGCTTTAAAGATTTCCACTCAAAATAATGAAGCCTTGCTTTCAAATAACCCTCCACACTGAGCTGGGTGTTGTAGCACACACCTGTAATCCCAGCTACTCAAGAGGCAGAGATGGGGAGGATCAGGGTCCTGCGCCAGCCTAGACAAAAGTTGAGATAGGTAGACCCTATCTCAAAAACAAGTCAAGTGGGCTGGGAAGGTGGCTCAGTGGTAGAGTGCTTGCCTTGCATGCATGAGGCCCTGGGTTCGATTCCCCAGCACCACATAAGCAAAAAGGAAAAAAGCCAGAAGTGGCGCTGTGGCTCAAGTGGTAGAGCGCTAGCCTTGAGCTGAAGAGCTGAGGGACAGCGCCCAGGCCCAGACTTCAGGCCCACGACTGGACCCAAAAAAAAAAAAAAAAAAAGTCAAGTATGTTGGTACATGCATATAATCTCTCCTAGGTAGGAGGTAGACAAAGGAGAATTGTGGTTCTAGGGCAACCTAGGGTCCCTATCTGAAAAAAATTGAAACAAAAAGGACTGGAGCATGGCTCAATTGTTAAAGCACTTGCTTAGAAATCCTCAGTACTGCTGGCCACCAGTGGCTCACACCTGTAATCCTAGCTACTCAGGGAGCTGAGATCTGAGGATCATAGTTCAAAGCCAGCCAGGACAGAAACATCCATGAGATTCTTATCTCCAATTAGCCACCAGAAAACTGGAAGTGGCACTGTGACTCAAGTGGTAGAGCGCTAGCCTTGAGCTGAAGAGCTGAGGGACAGCACCGAGGCCCAGAGTTCAAGCCCTAAAACTGACAAAAAGAAAAAAGAAATCCTTGGTACTGCCAAATAACTTAAGTACAACTCAGCTCTCAGCAAATCTGCAGCTGGCAGAACGTTCACCACTGGGGTCTCTTGTTTCTTTCCAGATCGTGCCAAGGTGGTACGGGGCCTGCCGGATGTGGCCACCATCATGGAAGACAAGGTACTGACCCTCCTGGCCCTTGGCCTGTAGATCCACCCTTGTGTTCTCCCGGGGAATCCATCCCAGATCACCACCAAACAGTGTCACACAGTGGACTGAAGAGCCAGCGGTGGCTGAGGGGCCAGAGACTGAGCCTGCCAGAGTCAGCTGAGTGACCACAGCTCACTGACAACGTAGTGTTGAATGTGAGCCACTGAGCCTGTTGTCAGCACCACGTGGTGCTCAAATGGCTCTGCCCCATCTCTCTAGAGAGCCCTGGGTGTCACCAACTGCCATCTGTGACCAATTTCTACAGGAGGCCAACTGAATCCCTGAAAGCCCTTCCAGGGCCAAAATTATGTAGATCTAGTGTTTCCCTCCCCCCCCCAAAAAAATCACAGCAACAAAGTAGGCATGGTAGTGCATGCCTGTAATCCCAGCTGAGGTTGGAGGGTCTTGAGTTCCAGGACAGCTTGGACTGTGTACAAAAACTCTACCAGCTACCCATATTTATGGTGCTATTCCACAAGCAGGTTTTAGCTAAGGATTGAGCCCCCCAGTAGTTAGAGGATTAATTCAAGGCTGAGACTCATGGCCAGGCAATCTAATTCCAGATCCTGTGTTCATTATAGTACAGTGCCCAGTGTTAGAACGCTTCCAAAGACTTTCAAATACAATTCATAAGTCTTCGTGCTAAAGCCATATCCTCTCTCTCTCTTTTTTTTTTTTTTTGTCAGTCATGGGGCTTGAACTCTGGGCCTGGGCGCTGTCCCTGCTTTCTTCAGCTCAAGGCTAGCACTCTACCACTTGAACCACAGCACCACTTCAGTGTTCTAGGGGTTTATTGGAGATAAGAGTCTCACGGACTTTCCTTGCCCGGGCTGGCTTTGAACCGTGATCCTCAGATCTCAGCCTCCTGAGTAGCTAAGATTGCAGGCGTGAGCCATGGGTGCCCAGCCTTAAAGCCATATTATCTTACTTGCTGGTAAAAATCACAATGCCATGTACCTTAAAAAGCAAGTAAGCACTGCCGGGCGCTGGTGGCTCACGCCTGTAATCCTAGCTACTCAGGAGGCTGAGATCTGAGGATCGCGGTTCAAAGCCAGCCCGGGCAGGAAAGACCGTGAGACTCCTATCTCCAATAAACCACCAGAAAACCGGAAGTGGCGCTGTAGCTCAAATGGTAGAGCGCTCGCCTTGAGCTGAAGAGCTGAGGGACAGCGCCCAGGCCCGGAGTTCAAGCCCCACGACCGACAAAAAAAAAAAAAAAAAAAACAAGTAAGCAAAATACAGGCCATTTTGAGCCAGCTATTTCCCAGACAAAGAAGGGCCTAAAATTCTAACCAGTCTCTTTGGCTGTAGAAAGGTTGACGATGGAGAGGGCGAGGTGGCAATAAAATGCCTGTGCCTTTTATGGATTCAATAAAACACACAATGAATTTGCCCCAGGGAGCTGCGTGTATTAAGAGCTCTCTAAGAGCATAATGGTGAATGTCAAGTTCAAGTTACAAAGCCGCAAGACCGTTCTCTTCCTGTCCATTTGCAACAGACCCTGTGCCTGACCTGCGTCATCTCAGGAGACCCTGCCCCGGAAATCTCTTGGCTAAAGAATGATCAGCCTGTCACCTTCCACGACCGTTACCGCATGGAGGTGAAGGGGACAGAGGTCACCATCACCATCCAGAGGGTCACCAGCGAGGACAGCGGGCGGTATGGCGTCTTCGTCAAGAACAAATATGGCTCTGAGACGGGCCAGGTCACCATCAGTGTGTTCAAACATGGAGACGAGCCCAAAGAGCTGAAGAAGAAGTGACGGGAGAGTCTAGGCACAGCCTGAGATCCAGCGGGCATGAACCAGCAGAGCCAACCAAGAGGGTCACAGCCTGGCACAGGCCACAGGGGAGGGAGGGAAGGAGGAAAGGAAGGGGGGAGGGAGGGAGGGAGGGGCCCAGGGTGGAACCCAACACAGGAGGTAGAGAGGAAAGGACACTGCAAAGGAGAGAAGCAAAGATCTCCCTGGGGTCCTGAGAGGCCCCAGGATGGCGGGCAAGCACCAGACTTGGAGCAGGAAAACTTGAAGACCTTGTGTTTCTCATCTCTCAAACGGGCATCTGTACTCACGCTACAGGTTCATTGGTGAAAATCCCTTGTAAGCCATTAGCTGACATCCTCCACCACAGACCACTTTACTCTGCAGGGTGGGGGCACTTGGCCGCTCTTTTTTGGTCGCCACAACTGTAGATGGGGTTGAGATTCCATATACTGCTAAAGGCCACACACACCCACCCCTAGAACTTACCTAGAACTCCACCTAGAACTTCCCAAGCCCAGCTTTGAGCAGTGCCAAGATCGGTGGGCCTTGCCATCAACCAGCCATCACATTTCTCTACTTATTTCGATCCACCTAAGTTCAACCCTCACTGGAAGTTCAACACATGCCAAGCTGAGAACAGGGCTGAGAACTGGCTCACTAACTCCTGAGACCCAATCACAGATGGGAGAATGCTTCCCCTCGCCCAGGCCCCACCCAGGAGGAAGTCTCCATCCAATAGGGAGGGCAGCCTGGGCTGGAACCACAGGACAGTATGGGAAATAATAATGAGAGGACAAGGATTAGGAAGTAGAGTGGTACCATGGTGCTGGGGGCTGGGGGTGGGCTTTTTATTTACAAAAAGGAAAACTCTCCAACAATAGGCAGAATTGATATTAGGCTCTGAAAAGTGAATCCAGATTTGCCTTGGAGATGAGAGAGGGACAGGGGAGGAGAGGAGCATGCTGGGAGCAGAAGGGAGGAGAGGAGCATGCTGGGAGCAGAGGGGAGGAGAGGAGCATGCTGGGAGCAGAGGGGAGGAGCAGGAGCGGCCCCCTGGGTGACCTTGCCAGGTATGGAGCCTGGTGTGGCACAGACACTGGTTGGCTTTGCTTGATGGATCTCAGCACAGAGCTGGGCATTTCTTTGCCCTCGTTTCCTTCTTTAATAAATACATAACATGGGCAGGATAACATGGGAGTTATAAAAATCGCTGTGAAAGCTTAGGAAATCCTAAAAGAGAAAATAAAAAACATCTGTGCTGCCGATCACCAGTAGGGACTGCCTGCCTCTGACTTCTGAAATGACTTCCAAGTCAAAAGATAAAAACCACATCCCACTCACCAGCTACTTGCGCATTGGGCTTGGTGGCTTGCCAGCGCCCAGTGACTTCCATTCCACCTCTGCTGAGGGGGAGGTGGGAAGGGGAGAGGGCAGGAGTCCTGGCGTGAGTTCAGGGCACCATGAAGGTCTTAAAGGCAAAGACTTCTGGGTTTCAAACGCCCTCCTGCCACCCAGTGGCCAGGGAGTTTACAAAATGCTTTCCCTTTTCCTGAGCTATAGTTCCCCGTCTATAAAACAAGCATGTGAGATGATGATAAGCTCTCTCAACTGACAGCTACCATTTTTATTACTTCCCACAACTCTATATGCTTTTCCCTTCCCATGAAAATGTGGAATACAATAAAAGACTCCATCCACCAGAAACCAGTGGCTCATGCTGATGATCCTCATTCCTCAGGAGGCTGAGATCTGAGGACTGCAGTTCAAAGCCAGCCCAGGCAGGAATGTTCATGAGACTCTAACGAACCACCTAAAAGCCAGATATGGAGGTATGGCTCGTGGTAGAGCACAGCCTTGAACAAAAAAGCATCCAGAGACAGCACCCAGGCCCTGAGTTCAAGCCCCAGGACACACACAAACACACACACACACACACACACACACACACACACACACACGAAAAAGACTCCATCTGAATACAACCTCCCACTTGCAGACAGACATACAGTATCTGAGACAACTGGTGGCTCTTTTCCCAATGTCAATGAAAAACGTCCCACGTCTTCTCTGTCTGGGATGGAACATGGTGAGAGCGCCCCCTGTTGGCACAGCTTGTGTTTATACTCAGCCCAGCATGGGTTTGGGGACACTTCTGGATGAGGTGGCAGTTTAAGAGCAAGGACTGGTCCCTGCTTGGCTGCATTGAGCCTATAACATATTAATCATAGGGTTTTCTTTTTTGTTCTTTTTTTTTATATATTTGCTTTGTTGTGTTTTTGATTCCTGGTCTGATCATTCCAATATCTCTGGCAAACCTGTGTGTGGTTCTGAGGCCCACTCTGTCTCTTCTATGTGTTTTGCCTCTAAATCTGCTTGATAATTAATTGGTGAAAGGCAGACATAGTATGCCAGGTCAAAAGAGATGTGTGACAAATAACAGATTGGCTCTTAATGAAGTCATGGTAAGATGTGGGGGAGGGGAAGTGTTCTCCCATCTGTGATTGGGCCTCAGGAGTTAGTGAGTCAGTAGTCTAGACTGAGAGCTCCTGCCTCTGGGCAGAGAAGCTAGAGAAGCTAGAGCTAGGTAATTTCCCTTTCCTCAGGAGATTAGGCTCTAGTTTAAAAAAGAGTGGGTTTTGTTTGTTTGTCTTTTTGTTGGTGGTACAGCTTGAACTCAGGGACTGGACACTGTCCCTGAGCTCTTTTCAAGTCTAGTGCTCTACCACTTTAAGCCACAGTACCACTTCCGGATTTTGAGTAATTAATTGGAGGTAAGGGTCTCACGGGGACTTTTTTGCCTGGGCTGGCTTGGACTCAAGATCCTCAGATCTCAGCCTCTTGAGTAGCTAAGATTGTAGGTATAAACCACCGAGTTTCTTTCTAATTCCAAGCTCTAGTAAGAAGACTAGAATGCTCTAGCTTGTTTCAAAATGGTTATTTTATTAATTAATTTGTTTGTTGCTGGATGAAAGTGGCTCATACCTGTAATCCTATATATATATGTATGTGTGTATACATATATATATACTTATCTCACATATATATGTATGTATATAACATATTATATATATGTGTGTGTGTGTGTGTATGTATATATATATGTATATATATATATACATATATATATATATATATATATATATATATATATATCCCTTTCCCTACTGGAAGTCAGAAGGGATTTTTCTGTGATCTTCAATGTGAGAACTTAGGCCAGTTCCTGGAGGTAAAGCTCAAACACTTCAAAAATTACAAACAACTTTAAGCAATAGTGGGGGACCCTGGTAGGGTCTTCTCCACCTCCATCTCTCCTGCATTTCTTGAGCCCAGCCAGGGTAGGCAGCGGTGGTGCAGCCAGCCCCCCACACACCCCATTCCCCCTTCATTTTAACCAGGAAGCCCAGCCTTCATTTACCTCTCCCAACCTGTCCCAGAAGCCTCCTCCCTTGACCTCTGGGGGCCCACTATCCCCAGCAGCCTGTTTATGATCCCCTCTTGCCCCTTCTATTATTCTTCGTCTGGCTCTTCCTAGAAAGCAGCTCCATTGGTCCACCCTGATCCCTAGTATCCTGTAAGGGACCCAGAACATCAGAAACTTTGCCTCTTCATTGGCAAAACCCAAAAGCTACACACCATCCCAGTGTTCTCCAGGAACTCGATGGACCTCCCACAAGGCTGTTCTTCCAGAGACAGGCTGGCTGTGCAGGTTGGCAGAAGACCAGCCAGCTTGTAAGAACACCCCCCTCCATCGCCTGCCCCACACTAGTTATGCCACCTTCACAGCCCAACCCAGTACGACCCTAGCCCTAAACATTCAAAGCATGAGACACGAAGAGCCTAGGCAGCCAGAGCCCCCACCAGGAAACAACTGGCCTGTGTAACAATTAATGATTACTAGGCCTCAAGCCACCACTCCAAGCAGATGCTTTCAATACTTCAGAACTTCCACATAGCTTTAAGCAACTTGAATGGCATCTTCACGCCAAAAATAGTCTCAGAAGCAACACTCTCCAGATGCCTCTAGTTCAAGGAAGCCAGGTCTTTTCATGTTCAGGATTTGAGAAACATCCAGCTACAGAGTGTGAGGGAAATACCTGGGTTAAAAGGAAAGACAAATTTCACAACCAAAGAGAAATAGGCTCTTGCTTGGCCTGGGGCCTCCCAGAAACCCATGCTCTCTTTTCCATACCAGCAAATCTAAAGAAAGAGAAATGCATGCCACATGAAGGCCTTTTTGTTCCACTTACAGAAATTTTCCTGATAAAGCCAGGTGCTGGTGGCTCATGCCTATAATCCTAGCAACTCAGGAAACTAAAATGTGAGAATCAGGGTTTGAAGCCAGCATTGGGCAAATGGAAAAAAAAATAATATTCAAAGGCAACTATCAATTTTAAGGACTCAGGCTAGATGAAGTGCTCATTTAGACCTGGTGCCAAAAAGCTACCCTAGACCATGAGGAATATTCCATTTAATCCTTTCCACAGCTCTTGAGAGGGAGATTACTATTCTAATGCTCTAATATTCATTCATTTCTTTCAAAAAATCATGCACGGAGGTCCTCCTATGAGTCAGGGCCTGTGCTAGCCAGTGGAGTCTTTTCTTGGCAGGAAGGATTGAATAAGCAAATGAACAGATAAGCAAAGCCCTGTCCATGCTGAGTTTGGGCAGCATCTGTGTTGGGGGCCTGGTTGCCAGCTGATGGGATTTGGGTGCTTGGATTCTAAAGTGTCTGATCTAATCAATAAATTAATCCCTTGATAGATCCCTAACGTGATGTTATTACTGGGAGATGGTGAAAAGTAGGGTGTGTGGCCTGATAGAAGTAGGTCACAAGTGGTGAACCCTGGAAAGATAGATTTTGTACCCTGCCCCTCTCTTTCCTCTCTACCTTTCTGTCCTGTCCCTCTCCTCTTCCTCTTCTTCCTCCTCTTCCCCCCCCCTTCTTCCCCTCTCTCTCTCTCCTTCTCACCTCACAATTGCTCTCTGCTTCCTGGCTGCCAGGAGGTGAGCCACCTGTGCCACATTGCCCTTGCCATGTCCTTGCTGCTCTTACTTCATGCCCCAAGTAAGTCTT